TCCCTATTAGTCATTAGGGCGGTCTGTGCGTTCTCGAAGATTTTCGCATTTCGAACACGTCGCAAGAATACCGACAATACCCCCTCTAGCACCTCAACGAGAGGGCTGCACACATTAGAGGTGGCGTAAATCGGTTTCTCGCGACGTGTTACCCCTATATCTGATAGAAAATTGACGAGTTTTGATGAAAGATTTCTGCTTAAAAGTTGGTGTGTGTGGTGATAGGCGTGTATAGGACACGTATAATCAGCGCACTTTCTCTTTCAACTCTAGATATCTCGACAGCGCGAGGGATCTAGAACGTCAGAGTAGTTGCAAAAGAATCGCAGTAGGCGGTTGCCTTAGATGCGAGATTTTGAGAGCTTTCTGAGATTTTCGAAAGTTGGTGTGTGTGTGTAGTATATGTGCGTAGGAAAGTAGTGGTAGTGATGATTCGGCAAAACTTACACACCCCGGTTGGCGGAGCGTCCGAGCCGCGTTCGCATTCGCGATGCGCCTTCTCCGCATCCTCCAGGATCGCTTGGCCGAACGCGACCTCGGTACTGACGCAGCTCTGTCATGCATCCGCCAACGGTGGGGTATCCGATGCTTTGGCGATATAACAATCTGGACAAGTCCTTTTTGCTGGAGTTGAGCTAGGCTGCGTGATCTTGAGTCGCATCACCACGTCCACGCCCAGCCCAGCCACCATGCCTTCTGCCATTGTCATCAAGCAGGTTCCTGGCAAGCCGGACCAGGTCTACTACCCGCTCGAGAAGATCACCGTCCCAGAGCCAAAGCCCGCGGACAACGAGGTATATAGGCTTGCCCGCCCGCCCGCCCGCCCTTGACGTGTCCGCCAACCGCAGCAGCTGACCGTTATTTTGACAGGCCGTCATAACTCTCACAGCAGCTGCGCTCAACCACCGCGACCTCTTCATCCGCCAGCACCTCTACCCCGGCACTGCCTTTGGCGTCCCGCTCCTCGCAGACGGCGTCGGCGTCGTGACATCTGCCGGCTCCTCCCCAGCAGCCCAAGCATGGCTCAACAAGCGCGTCGTCCTGAACCCCGGCACGGGCTGGAAGAATGACCCCGAAGGGCCAGAGCACCCCAAGGGATATGCCATCATGGGCGGCACCAAGTCCAACCCCAGAGGCACGCTGCAGGACGTGTGCGCCATCGACGTGGCCGAGCTGGAAGAGTGCCCGGAGCACCTCAGCGACGAGGAAGCTGCTGCCCTTCCCCTCACCGGCCTCACCGCATGGCGCGCATTCCAAGTCAAGAGCGGGAATGCCGTCGCCGGTAGAAACATTCTGATCACGGGCATTGGCGGCGGCGTCGCCCTCATGGCCTTGTCCTTTGCCGTCGCACGCGGCTGCAACGTCTACGTCACAAGCGGAAACCAAGACAAGATTGACAGGGCAGTCAAGCTGGGCGCAAAGGGCGGTGTCATCTACAAGGAAAAAGGCTGGGATAAGAAGATCAAGGCCCTGCTGCCAAAGGACAGGCCCTATCTCGATGCCATTATCGACGGCGCCGGCGGCCATGTCATCGCGGCTGGAACCAAGCTCCTCAAGGTTCGTTTCTCCCCAATATCTCTGCGCACTAGACTGACCGATTCCATTACAGAACGGCGGTGTCATATCCGTGTACGGCATGACCGTCTCCCCCAAGATGGACTTCCTCATGAGCGCCGTGCTGCGCAACATTGAGGTCCGCGGCTCGACCATGGGCTCGCGCAAAGAGTTTGCCGAAATGATACAGTTTGTGCGCGACACCAAGATGAGGCCCGTGGTCAGCCGCAGTGTCCATGGCATGGACCTTGCCAAGATCGAGACTCTCTTCGACGACATGAAGAACGCGACCCAGTTTGGAAAGCTGGTCATTACGCTTGGAAGCGCCAAAGCTAGCAAGTTGTGAGGATATGAATATCGTCGTCAATTTGTAGCCCTTTATGATGTATCTATACCACATGAAACTGTACACCATCCGAGAAGTAGGATACGTCTTTTTTCTCTCTTTCTCCTTTTCCTGGCAAAAGGAAATATCCAACTAGCTGTCGCAACTACCGCGGATCGTCTCGTCAATTTCCACGAAACACCTCAACGCTTGTCTGGGAGATCTTCATCTCAAACGGGACATGCATGAATGAGCTATATATTATCATCTGCAGAAATCGATACAGACTGTGGCAGGCTCCTCGCTTCAACAATTGCAGTGTCATGGAACCGAGATTGAACAGTGAACTGTCGGAATGAACCGTAGGAAAAGCACAACACACCACGTGCAGACTATACATGTCTCCTCGGACAATAGTGTGCGCTTTCCCCCTGCACATGAGACGGAAAAGAAGCTTCTTATCGTGCCAGCCCAGCAGCCTGGATCCCCACGCGTACAGGCCGCCAACCGCACAGTATGAAACGATCTGATTCAAAAGCGCTTTGTAATCCTGAATACAATGGTTCCCTAATTTGCAAAACTAGACTAGCCGCACCCATAATTCGCTACAAGGACATACATACAAGTGAAATGGGAAACGAGCCATGACGATTTGAGCCGGAGATGAAGGCTCAAGAGTGCAACCTAGTTCGAGATATCAATAACGATACTGCACTTCATCACCTTGGCTCTCAACAGAAGACGCACGAGCACGCGGGCAGCAATAGAACACAAAGGGGTACGGACCACGTTGCCGTGTTGCACCGCAACCTACTCTGTTGGTCTGAAAATAAACAGATCAACAACAACTTTTTCATGCTCAATTCTCCTTTCTTGTTTTGACGTCGCCGCTCACCACCAGCACACCTCACAACCGTGATATACAACCAGAGCTGGGCGTAGCTTAGCATTTCCCCGTATCTTTTGCAACAGAAAAGGAAAAAAGAGAGAAAGAGAAAAGAAAACCATGAAGTTCAGTTTGAAGGCGAGCGTCAAGCAAGTAGCACAGCGCTTGAATCCCGATCTCCAGATTCCAAACTGCGAACCACGGCCATCACACCATTCATCGTCTACAGGAAAGTCGCATCCATCGTCGTCGGCCTCAAGAGCAAGAGCAAGAGCGAATTCGGCCTCAAACCATGCGAAAAGAAGCCAGTCGACTTCATCTCAGTCACCAAAACACAACAGGCGAAGGGAACCGGCGCCAGCCCGCACACCGTCAATGCCCGCGCTACAAAACCCAAAGAGACCTCCACCACCGATACTAAGGCACTCGACTGCACTGGGTGAAATAGAAGCCACAGGAAGACCGCCCATGCTTTCTTCGCAGCCACCAGTGCCCGAACACAAGAAGAGGCCGCAACCGATACTCCGGCACACGACTGCACTGGGTGAAATCCAGTCGACAGATAGCCTTTACAGGGCTCCTTCGCGTGCCTCAGTAGCAGTCCCAATCCCAGCTCCACCTCCAGTCCCAGTCCCAGTCTTGCACTCACACTCACACTCACACTCGCCACGCACACCCACAAGGAGAACACGAGCCAACACCACAACCACACCCCCATCCCCCTATGCCGCTGGCTCCCGAAAACTAAAGGACCAAGTACCCACGGTAAGAATCGAAGCTGTGGATAGCGACTCGGAAGAGTCAAGGCCAGAATACCCCTTGCCTGACGGCGAGCGAGACACGTATCTGCGTCACCGCCATCATCGTCATCACCACCACCATCATTCTCAGCAACGGCAACAGCAACAGCAACCGCAGCAACCGCAGTCCCGCAAACCGCAAAACTTACTCCAACCCCAATCGCAAAATCTACTTCAACCCCCGCAACAACCTCAATTCCAACCAAAACCTCAACCACAACCACGAAAACACCAACAACCACAACCACAACAACAATATCAAAACCACTACCAACAGCGAAAACCATATCACGAAGACGACAAAAAAGATGCAGTAGAAATAGAAATTGAAGAGCAAGAAGAAGATGAAGACGAAGACGAAGAAGAAGAAGACGAAGAAGAAGAAGATGAGGAAGACGAAGACGAAGAAGAAGCAACCGCAACATGTTTCTGCGGCGCAGTGCAACTCGCGTTTCCCGTCCAAGGCCCCGGCCTCGTCTCCTCCTTCATCTGCAACTGTGCCGACTGCAAGAAACTCACCGCCGCACTATTTGCCTCCAACTTCACTATTAGAGATGAGTTAGTTTACCGCATTTGTTTCCCCCCCCATGTTTCCCTCTTTTTCTTTTCCCTATTTCCTTCTTACTCTTACTCTTATTCTCCTCTGCTTGCTTGCTTGCTTGTTCGCCTGTTTGCTTGCTTCCACTCCGTTCTCTCTCTTCCACACTCTTCATCTTCTAGCTTGTTGAACCACAAACTAATGTCAAGTAGATACCTCAAGCATGTGCGCGGCCGCCAGCATCTCAAAACATATTCGCACCAGCTTTCTCCTCCTCCCGCGCAAAGTACAAAGGGCCTCTCTACTACTACAAGAACTAGCACAAAAACTAGCAGCATTACCACCACCACCACCACCGGCGCCACCACCGGCGCCACAACATCAACACCAGCAACAGCAAATCGCGCATCAGGCCACAGCATGACAAGCTACTTCTGCGAAGCCTGCGGTACCCTCATGTATCGCATTGGCGCGGCGTTTCCCAAATGCTCGATTCTGCGCCTCGGCACTGTCGACGACTTGCGGTTGGCCGAGACCAAGCTGAAGCCTACGCGCGAGCTGTTTGTCAAGGACCGCGTGAGCTGGATTGCTGGTGTGCAAGGGAGTGAGGGGAGGAGGAAGTAGAATCATGGTTACAATGGAGTTGGCTTTTTTGCTGCGAGGAGATGGATGCATCTACGTTGATTCTTGTACGTACATGGCGGGATGATGGCTATTTCTACGGCGTCTGGAGTATATCCCTTGTGCTTTGACTAGAGAATGGAAATGTACAAAGGACCATGGCGGTGTCACAGTCAAGGACTCCTCACGTGGCTATTAGGAGTACTTGCTTGCATTGTCAATTTTTTGAAAAGATACACTGGGTATTTCCCTAATACAAGAATATGCTCACACCATCCCATCCCATATACCCTTCATGTCATGTGGCTCCAGATGATTGACCCAGGAAAACGCCGCGCTCAATGCAAGAAATTCAAAAAAAGCACGCGGACAAGTGGAATAAAGACAGAGACTGTCATGGCAGCAGTCACGCATCGAGGGATCAACCCTACAGCCATTGATCCACGTCATCCGCAACATCCATGTCAGCATCTGCACCGCCAAATGGCTGATTCTCCTCTTCTTCAACCTTGATATCCGTCTCTCCAATGGTAGCAGGAGAGTCTCCTTCTTCGACGCCAGTCGGTGCTGCCTGTGTGGTCGTAGAAGGCTTGAGACCACCAAAGGCGTCGTTAGGAACCCATGCAAGGTCAAGCTTACCTACATCGGGAATTTTTAATGACTGGTCAAGAAACATCTCAGCCTGGTACCGCTCCTTGAAAGTAAGGATGAGAGCGTCGGCTTGCTCTGGGTGGCGTTCAATACTCGTGCAGTCGGGAATGTTCTGTCATGGTTGTTAGCCAGAAGAAATACAACCCACCCCAAGTGCCACTTACCAGAAGATACTGCCGCAATGCCTCATCTCTCGGCGTATCAGCCTCGATGCCACTGACTGCCAGTCGCCTAGGCCGATTGTCGAGTCTCTTAACGCCGCTACGACCTGGGAAGGCAGCAGGGTAGAAGCCAGATTCTCGACCACGATACGCGCCTCGATAGGATGTGAAGCCTCTACCACGAGGTGGGAAGGGAGCAAAGCCACGACCTGGATAAGCTCCACGAAACGCGCCACGGCCGCGACCGCGCATTGCGGAATGATCAGGAGCATGCTGATCGAAGAGTTCAGCGGCCTCAGCTTGAAGTGTCTCCAAGGTCTCTGAAAACTCATCTGCCTTATCACCAGACAATTCTGCTAGTTGCCGCCTAATCTCCTGCATCTCTTCATTCTTCTCTTTGAGCTGTCTCTCGATTTCAGCAGCTCTGGCAGCAGCTTCCTCTTCCTTTCTCCTTCGTTCCTCGAAAGCCTTTTGCGCTTCTGCCTGCTTGATGGCAATGGCCTCAAGGTCAAGCTTCTCCTCTTCTGGGTGATCCTCTTCACAATACCAGTAGACCTTAACGAACCGGTTCTCGAAGACAGCTTTGGGGCTACTGTAGGCTCGGCTGGCAGCAGAATGGTCGACGAACTTGATGATTGCCAATCGCCTGTTGGTGTGCATGTCCACTTCGACGATGCTGCCAAACTCGGAAAAGTAGTTTCGTACGCTGTCTTCACTGAAGCTCTCGGGAGGGATATGTTCAACCACCAGCGTAGTATTGGACGGATCGTATGATGGGCCGAGCTGAGAGAAGGGCGCGCGTGATTTGCTAGCCTTGATGGTGCGGCGTTGGCTGTGAGACGATGCTTGCTTCCTGGTATTTCGATGGGGCTGAACAGCAAGAAAAGACTTTTCTGGGTCATATTCGGGGACTTCGTGAGCCGGGACAGCAACAGCAGCATCGCTATGCTCAAAGGGACAGAAATTGCCCAAGGCGCAAAATCCCTTTTCATGGTAGTCGGAACACAGCTGCTTGGTGCCCTTCTGGCTAGAGCGGTTGCCTTGAGCATTGGGAAACGACATGGGCGGCATGCCAGGGAGATTGGCGCCAAACGCTGCAGCCAGTGCAAAGAAAGCCGTAGGGTCCGAGGGATCGAACGGCAGCGGTCCCGGTGGGAGCGGTGGAAGGTTTGCAAAGTTGGGCATGCGGTTCAAATCATATGAGGCGTTTTGCTGCATGTCTCCAGCTCTTCCACTTCTACCGCTCCTCCGCGCCGCCTGCTTGGACGGCCTGTTACCACTACCGCTGTCGCCTTCTACCGCCTTGCGCTTCCTCGACTGATTTGATCCATCCTGCATGTAATACGTCGGTCGGTCGGGTAGCCGGTGTGAAAATCTAGTCGCGGCCGGGCCTTTTGGCGCGTCGGGCGGTGCGTTGGAGGGATGAGGCTCATACTCGAGGTTCGTGCTGCCCACTATAGACTGTATCGGCGCAGACTGTGGGGCTTGGATCGGTGGTGGGGATTTTGGCTTGGGGACATAGGCTCTATCTTTCAGCGCAGCAATAACGTCGTCGACAAACGGCTCTGTGTCTATTGCTTGTTAGCCAACAAAGTCCCGCGTAACCGTAGCATGCGCTCTGTCAGCCGGCGGGTACTTACTGTCTTTGCCCAGGAAGTCTTCTAGCGACTCGATGCAGCTGCGCCGAACATTTGCCTCTGTTTCATCGACGGTAACTAGCGCAGCGACATAATCGGCGAGCACGCCTCCCTCAGCATCAGAGCTGTGCTCTTTGTTAGCATTTCCGCCTGAAGCTTTCGCGAGCGCGATGGCTAGCTCCGACTTACATGTTCTCGAGCTTCGGCAGCAACCAGTCCTTGAACGCAGCCTGGTCCTTTTCTGGGAGCAGCATCGTGAATGTCGCAAGCAATTCGCGCCTTCACTCAAGGCGCCCGAATCCGCAGTGATGGATGAGTAAGCTTGGGCACTGCGTCAAGGGCGGGTTTGGCGGTACGGAAGTCGAGCCAAGCGCACGTAATTCGCGTTGCCCTTAGCGCGACCAAAGGCCATTAGCTTTGGATGACCCGTGAGCACATGACCAGCCTGCCCCTCCACGTTCACCTTTCCTACCAGCAGCTACTTCACATTCACCGCTTTGCCCAAGCACCATGGGAGCAGCAGCTAGAAAGCATTTGTGCAACATAGTTGGATTTCTTTCAACTAAACTACACTTGGAACAACTAAGGAAATAATGGGTCATCATCCGTATCTTTCGTGCAAAAACCCCCAAAAGCCTGACTGAAATGGGCAAACTGCCCGGACCGACATTTACTAGCTCTCGTTGCTCTTAACAGAGGGGAGCCGTTTGCGTCACACATAGACCAGCGGCCACGAGCTTGCCCATGACTGTCGGATGACCCAGACTCGCGCAGAAAGGAAATCTAGTACTTTTGACAGGTTTCCTTTACAGCTTGTCGTAGTACTGTGCGAATGGTTAGTATGTGCTGCATCTATCACGTGTGCGGAAAAACTTACGTTGGAAACGTCAGGCACCTCGACCTTGATACCCTTGCGCTTACGCATGTCGGCAACAATCTTACCAACCATGGTGGTGGCGTCAAGTGGCGAGCCTCCCTGGAGATGCTGCCAGTGGTCGAAGACTTGTTGAGGGAAGGCCTGTCCACCAGTGGCGGCACGGAGATCGGCCGTGAAACCGAAGGATTCGTTGACGGGGAGGTAGGCCTTGACGTTGAACAGAGGAGTACCAACACGCTGGTTCTCCTCGAAAACGTGGCCTCTCCTTCGGGTAAGGACACCGTAGATACCACCCATGGCCTGCTCGGGAACCTGGATCTCGACGAGGTAGACGGGCTCGAGCAGAGTGGGCTCGGCAAGGAGAGTGGCGGCGTACAGGACACGACGCGCGGTAGGGATGATCTGACCACCACCACGGTGAATGGCATCAGCGTGGAGAGTGACATCCTGGATGTTGAAGCGGATGGAGCGCATGGGCTCCTCGGCAATGGGACCTTCCTTGGTGGCCCACTGGAAACCGGACACGACAGAGTCCTTGATTTCGTTCAGGTACTGGACGGCCTTGGTCTGGTCAATCAGCAGGTTGGCACCAGTGGTGTCGGGACCGAAGCACCAAATCTTTCGGGCATCGGTCACGTCCCAGCCGTACTCGTCAGCCAGGATACGGGCACGGGTCTTGATATCGTCACGAGGAGCAATCTTGCCAGACTCGATAGCACGAGAAACCTCCTCGTCCAAGGGCTGGGCAGTGAGGTAGAGACGGTTGTGCTTGTTGGGCGACTTGGACAGCGCGGTGATGCTGGAAACGCCGTTGACAGTCTCACGGTACTGGACAACGGGGTCGGAAATGCGGAGAGGAACACCGGCGTGGTCCTCCTCGAGATCCTTCAAGCAAATCTCCAAGTGCAGCTCACCGGCACCGGCAACAACGTGCTCACCGGAGGGGGAGATGTAGGTCAGGACGCAAGGGTCCGACTTGGACAGACGCTTGAGACCTTCGACGAGCTTGGGAAGATCCTGAGCGTTCTTGACCTCGACGGAACGCTGCACGACGGGCGAGACGGAGAACTTCATAACCTTGAGGTTGTGGGCGGTCTCGTTGGTGGTGAGAGTACCAGACTTGAGCAAGAACTGGTCAACACCGACAAGACCGAGAATGTTACCGGCAGGGACATCCTCGATGGGCTCGACGAAACGGCCCATCATGAGAATGGTACGCTGGATAGCCTTAATGAACAGGTCGTCCTTCTTGCCAGGGGTGTAGTTGGGACCCTGGATGCGGACCTTGAGACCAGACTTGACGGTACCGGAGAAGACACGACCGAAAGCGTAGAAACGACCCTTGTCGGAGGTGGGCACCATCTTGGAGACGTAGAGCATGAGAGGACCGCTGGCGTCACAGTCGCGGATACCAATGGCGTTGACATCGTCGTGGGGACCCTCGTACAGAGTCTCCATACGGTATCTCTGGGCGGTGACGGGAGAAGGCAGGTGGAGAACCATCATCTCGAGGAGAGCGTCGGCAGCGGGAAGGAACTTGCGCATGACGACCTTGAGGAGCTGCTTGCCCTCGAGATCCTTCTCGTCGGAAGTGAGCTTGATCTCGAGCTTCTCGAGCAGAGTTGGGATCTCGTCCTTCTTGAAGTTCATGACGGCGTTGAAGATGCGGAAGATGGGGTCCAGGATGAACTGGTTGAACGAACGCTCGAGTGCTTGGCCCTCGTGGGTAGCAACCTTGGTCCACTTCTTCGTCTTAGGGTTGAAGTAGTTGTCGCCCTGCCGCGTGTTAGTGCGCCGCCTTTTGGTCTCTTTACAAAAATCATCCACTTACCCAGAGGCGGTCCATCATCTTGTTCTTGTCGACACCAAACTTCTTGGCGTACCTGCTAGCGAACTGGCGGATGGTGAAAGCCCAGCCGTGGAGACCGGAACCGAAGGCAATGGTACCCTTCTCGGGGTAGACCTGGACGTCACCGAGGGCCTTGTCAAAGTAGGTAGCAATGACGACGTTGACGGATTCAATGACACGGGAGAAGTTCTGGTACAGATCCTCCTTGGAGAGCTGGAGCTCGAGAAGAGCACGGTCGACCTTGTTGATGATGACAACGGGCTTGATGCGCTCACCAAGAGCCTGACGCAGGACAGTCTCGGTCTGGACGCAGACACCCTCAATGGTGTCGACGACGACGAGAGCACCATCGGTAACACGGAGAGCAGCAGTGACCTCGGACGAGAAGTCAACGTGACCGGGCGAGTCGATCAAGTTGATCAAGAAGTCGTTCTTGGTCGTGGGGACGGGAATGTCCTTGAGGTCTTCTGCGTCCTGGAGCTGGGCGTACAGGGAGATGGCGGTCGACTTGATGGTGACACCACGCTCCTGCTCGTCGGCTCGGGTATCGGTGAAACGAGCCTCACCAGCCTTTGCGGCTGAGATGATACCGGCACGCTGGACGAGCGAGTCGGTGAGAGTCGACTTTCCGTGATCGACTGTGGCGGGGTACGTCAGCCATGTGTTCCGCCAGGTGCTGCGGGGTCGCACTGTGGGCGCTTACCGTGAGCAATAACGGACATGTTCCTAATGTTCTTAGGATCGTCCATGAGACCACGGATCTAGCATTGCAGTCAGTATCCCATGCCGAATCGTCTTGCCCGTCGTCATTGGCGCAATGCGGGGCAACGAGCGTGTTGTGGGCGTGTGTGGGCGTCTGCGCTACGTACCTCCTCGACCGTGAAGCTGTCATATTGTCAGCCACATGCTTTTGGGTTGCAAGCCATGCGCAAAACAAGGCGCTGGAGCTGTGCAGAGGCGATTCGAGAGAGCGGCAGACTTACTTGACCATGATGGCGGTGTTGGTACTGTCTTCTTTTACGAAAATTCAGTAGTGGCAACGAATACCCCGCTTTGAAAGCGCGCGGGTACGATGGATGGGGTCGTTTGTTGAGCTGAAGTCTCTGGCGCAGCAGTCAACCAGAGTCAGACAGACGAGAGGTTGATTGTAAGCCGTAGAGGCGGGCGGGCGTCTGGGTGAGGAGAGTTCTGCTGCGAGGGGGAGCGAAGGTTTTTAGTAGGGCTAGTGGTGGGGTCGGTCGCGCTTTGCTCGCTAAAGCACGGCCCATGCTGGTGGCGCGAAGTAACCTGTGGTGCCCAAAGCAGCTCGACGGCAGCGCCCTTTGGCCATGGGTCTGCCTGATGGGACAGAATATCGTCACTCACCAGCTCAACCACCATGTTTGGACATGCAGCGCCCTAGCACAGACTGCAGAGCCCCCGGCGCCGCCTCCTCAGGCCCTTGATGACTGCGACCATTGCGTTTGCCCATCTTGTCATTCGCCGCCAACGCTTCCCAAATCGTCGCTTTGCGGCAGAACTGCGAACGCCTGTGGCTATGCAGCCGCATGCACTGAAGCTCTCTCAGCTCTCACTCTGAGCAGTGTAGGCTGGCTCTGCGCCCTCGACACTCTCACGCTTGCAATGACTGGCCTTCGCCCCAGAGCTGCTGCGCACATGTCCATTCGCCGTGTCTAATTTGCCAAGCAGCCATGAAATTTGCCTCTTGATGCGCACCTGAGACGCTTTAGCGATATTAGCCTGGCCTGATCGGCTTATCTCCGCTATACCCGCCGTCCCACCAAAGCTTGCCCATGCCTGCACAGCAACGCGGGGTTTCTCGGCCCCAGCGCTACCGTGACAACATACCCACAAGGAATACATGAACACAACCCCAACTAGAGAGCGAGAGAGCGAGTGCGGGGTGCGTGGACGAAACCATGAGAAGGACTTCTGCTGTGGACACCAGCAAATTCCAGGTTGCATGTGAGACATTGCATCTGTGACGCTCGACATTGCCATACATACATACAACCACATGCAAAGCGGCCTTGGTGCTTTTCGAGTTTCCCCTCCAACGCCCCTCCCGAGCTGAACCCACAGGCTATCGAGACGAATCATCAGAACCCCGCCGCCCTCTTCCTCGTCCTCGTCCTCTACCCCTGCCTCCGCCTCCGCCTCTGTCTCGGCCCTCCTTTTTCCAACTGCCAGCTGTGCCACGCCTTGAGTCCATTGTAGCTTTGTCGTCCTTCTCAAATCTTGCCCATTGATGGCCATCCTTCTCTGTGAGCATTCTATCTTCAGACAATCCCGGTTGCCTTTGATTGGGTGCGTACGATGGACTGCTCCTGGTGTTTTCCTCTTGCGTGCGGGTCCTTGCATATGCGCCCCTACGCTGCCCACATTTTAAGCGTGGATTGTCGCGTGGACGGGCAGCATTGTCGCCCTCAACATAATCATCACACAATTCTCTCTCGTCGTCGACAGTCTCCGTGGTCGCAGATATCCCTGATGAGTGCGCTTGGTCTTTTGCTTCTGCAGCAGCTTGACTTTGCGATGCTATCTTTGAACGTTGACGAAACCTGTCCCAATACCCTCCTGTACCAGCTGGGCTCTCGCCCTTTGTACGCTTATCGCTGAGAGGAGCAGGCCTGTTGCGCTCGTCGTCGCTGGTGCTAGTCGAATCCTAACGGGTAATACTTAGTCTCGTTCCCATCACGCTCGACGGACTGGCAAAACAAGCTACAAATAACTTCAAACGCAAAATTCATGCTCATACTCAACGCACTCTGCCAGCTCTTGCTCTGTCCCTCTCTCGATCGTCGGCTCGCGGATCGTTGGGAACCTCGACCTCATACTCCTCCTCTTCAACCTTGTGGAACTTCTCAACTTGGGCACGCTCTTCATGAGCCCGGGCTGCATCCAGCATGAATCTGACTGTGCCGTTTTGTCCGCGAATTCCTATGGCAGATTTGGGTGCCTGATCATTGCCAGGGGACAAGGCAACTGGAGTCGCTGGCGTAAGTGGGCTGGTGGGGCCGAGCCCATTGCGAGATCTGGTGCCGTTCCCGGTGCTCTCATTTTCCGGGGACAGCTCAGAGGCATACTGTGCATAGCGAGGAATCTTCGCAGCCGAAGCTTCTTGGTTCAGGCCAATGCGGATGTTGATAAAATACTCAAGAGTGTAGTTAGGCCCAACCGATGTCGAGCTACTGTGGTGGGTGTAGAGATCCAGGAGATCAAGCAGAGTTTCCATGATCTCTGCGCGGCTCGTCGACCATGTGCTGTATTTGACCGGCCCCGCGTCTACAAACTTGGTCGCATCCTTTCCGTGTAGTCTCGCCGCAAGCTCTAGACACGCGATGGCCAGGGTTGGCGTGGATTGTTTGAGTGGCGCAAAGGTTCTGTATAGATCGATGCTCAGGTTCCACGTTGTCTTTGCCTCGTTGTTTGCGTCAAACTTCAGGGCCCGAGCAAGTTTAACCATGACCTTTTGCGGGTATCGATTGCGAAAATCGAAACCAGCGCTTTCGAGCATGAGTCGTTCGAGCCCAATGATGAGCTTGGAGTGGCTTTCGAAGCGCTGTGTACATGTCAGTTTCAATACCAAGGCCAAGGCACGGGGATCGGGGCGCGCGAACAGGATCATCGCTGCTTAGACTTTCACCGGGCGCAACCTTGAGGTTCCAATGCGCACACAGGATTTCGCGGCTCTTCTTCAATGTATCCTCGATTTTGCAGGCTGTGAAAAGTGCCGCAGCTGCCGCGTCTGCCCAGTTGTACTCGTTATCTGCGTGCAACAGCCTGAACTTGTGGTAATAGATGACGGCCGTGTTGAAGGTGCGAATCGGCAGTTGCAGCGCTCGCCGGACTTGGTCGATCCAAGAGACGCCCTGGAGGCGTACAGAGTCTTCTTTTGCATCGCTCATGTTGATGTCTGCGAGACATTTCTGCATGCGCGATTGCAAAATGTACGGCTTTGCGATTTCAATGTATGACGGGTGTGGGCCGACGCGGTCGCGATCGCGATCGGAGGGAGAAGCGGTGGGCGCCATGACCTGAGTGAGCGCAGACCGTCGCAGGAGCCGTTATGCCGTAGCAAGATGGAGCGAGAGGGTACAGGCAGGATGTCGCGTCGTGATGGCTTGCGTTGGTGATTCGAGAGGTGGGCGCTGCCTGGTCGTTGCTCGGGGCACGGTGGTCTAACTAGATACAGACGAGCCTTCCAGTACAGGACACCAGGCGCGATCAGAATATTCAAAAATAACAGCACATTGCGGGTGTGGAAAGGTTGCGAGGCATCGGCATGTGGAGCGGACAGACCAAAAGTTAGAGGGTCATAGCTCTGCTTACTTAGTCCCTGGGACTAGCCGCGGATCAGACATGGACAGGCACGAGAGAGCACGTGGAAAGCAAGCAATATAAAGTTTCATTAGCGACAGGGACATGTCCTGGTGCTCCATCCTCTCCCTTGTTCCATTATCCACGGCCATGCATAGTCCGATCCTTCCATGTACTATTCATCCCAGCTTGCACTGTACTCATGAAGCCAAAAGGCCGTAATCATTAAAATCTAAAAAGACAAGAACAGAGGTGCGCGGACCTCGGCGTTGAAAGAACAAACTGAATCGTGAGCCTTGGCCCCCAACTGTAGGGATGCAAACGCAAGAAATACTCGCTCAAAGTGTACATGACGTGGCTGAGCATGAATTGTTTAGGCCGTTGTTCGGTCCTTGAAGGTAAGGAGACAGTCATCCTAGACGACATCAGCAAGTTTTCAGAGAGAGGCGAGGAACGGACATGACTTACCATGGGGAAAATAGTGGCAAAGACCTTGATAACCTCACTTTGGTCCGTAACCTTGTGGTCCCAGTCAAGTAGCATGCTTGCCTTGCCAATCATCAACATGAGGTTGGCCTGCGCATATGTCTGCCCCAGGCAGTAGTGAGGGCCGGTGCCAAACACAAGCCAGTTCTTGGTTTGCTGGTCAGCATCACCAGTGATCCAGCGCTCGGGCTGGAAAGAGTCGGGGTTTGGATAAGCCTCGGCATCGTGGAGAGCCATGTACGTGGTGGGGATGACCATGGAGCCCTTGGGCACAGTGTAGTCTGGGGTGACGGGAAAGTCCTTCTTGGCGAGGTAGGGGACCATGATGACTGGAGGGCGGTAGCGAAGGGTCTCCTTGACGACGGCACGGGTCCATTGCAGCTTCTCAATGGCGTCGAGCGAAAGCGAAGCGTGGACATCGCCGTTCCTTGCCTTGATGTTCTCCTCTCGGATCTTGTCGAGGTACTCGGGCCGGTCCGCCATGATCTGGAAGAGCCATGTGGCGGCAGACGAGGTGGCGTCCTGCGAGGCGAAGAGGAAGGTGAAGATGGTCATGGAGATTTCAATGTCGCTGAACCAGCGGATGACGGTGGTGGGCTTCTCGGAATCGTCGACCTTTTCGCCTGCCTCGATCCTCTTGCGGTACTTTTCCGACTCGATCATGTTGTCAACCCAGAAGTCGAGAATGCACTCCTTCTTGCCGCCAGCGGCCATGCGGATCTTGCTCTTGGCAGCGCACTTGGAGAACTCCTCGAGAACCATGTCGGCGCACTTCTTGCCGTACCACGTCTTGGTGTAGGGAATGATGATGGGGAAGTTGACGAGCTCCAGCGCGGCGGTAATCAGATAGTAGTCGTCGGCAATCTTCTTGACGGCCTCGTCCGAGCAGTAGTGGCCGACAAAGGTGCGGCAGCTGAGGGCGGTGATCATGAGGCGGAACTGCTGCATCCAGGGAATGTGCTGGCCCTTGTTCTCGACCTGCGAAAGGTGCACAAACTGCTTGAAGTAGGTGTTGTAGATGTCCTCCTGGCCGGGAAGGTACTGCTCGAGCGCCTGGCGGGTGAAGAGGCTGTTGAGGCCTTTGCGGTAGTCGACGTGGGCGCGGCCATCGAGGAAGACCCAGTTGTCGGGGCGCAGGAGCTTGTAGGCGACATCCACGACGCAAGGCTTGACAAAGGTGGGCGAGTTGAAGATCTTGCGGGCCATGTCACGGGTCGAGGCAATGACGACGAATCTGGCGCGAGCCAATTAGTACGTGCGCAAGATGCCGAGGCGCGGGTGTCGGGAAGCAGCTTACTTGTGGAACACTGAGACACAGCTCAGCGGGCCCGACGACCATTTTTCGTGGTACTTTTTGAAGTCTGGGTTTACCGACTCAAGGAAGGGCCCGATGAAAGGAATCTTCCATGACGGGCCAACAATTGAGCCCTTGTTCCAGAGGTACTTGACTAGGCGCGGCGGTTAGCGGTGAGTGGTGCAAGCAGCAGTAGTAGTAGTAGTAGTAGTAGTAGCAGCAGCAGCAGCAGCAGCGACAGGAATGCATACACTGGTCGTAGGCAATGGCCGAGACAATGAGCAGCTCAACAGCAAAAAAAAACAGCACCGCCAGCAGCCAGCAGCCAGCAGCCAGCAGCCAGCAGCCAGCAGCCAGCAGCACCACCATCACGCCCGCCATCCCCCCCAACCACCGCCACGCCCGCCGCCGCCGCCGCCGCCATCACCACCTCTTCCGCCGCCGCTCGGCAGCCGTCGTATGGCCGCATCCGTCCGTCAATCCGCTGGCCGGTGCAATGGGGCAAGTCAAAGTGCATGCCGCGCTCCTCGGAGGCGTTAAATCCGAACGCCCGTTCGGCGACTTGTGCACTCTGGGTTTGGCGTCGCAGCGCAGAGGATTGTCATGGACAGGGCTGTTTTTTGCACTGGCCTCTGCTGCTGCCAAGCCATGCAATCAAACAACCAGTCCAGAGACCCTCTTTTGCCAGTGGCCCCCCGACGGGGCGCGAATTTATATCGGCCTCGAAGCACTCCCCGGGCCTCCTTCCACGTCCAGCCCTTTCGCCACCCTGCGCACCCCGTCTTCCCATTGTGCATCGCCCGGCGCGAACCTACCATAGTCGTCATGGCCGCCAATGCGAGCTTCGTCTCGCCTTCCGCAGATGCAAAGGACATCCATCTCTTGGACCAATTCGACACCGCCGGCCTGCTGTCCTCCGCCCTCGAAGGCTTCACCCTCTGGAGGCTCGCCTTGACCGAGCTAGCAGGTTATTTGTGTGCGGCGTCGCAGCTGTGCTGGAGTGGCCGCGTGCCTGGCTGCGAGCACGAGTGAAGCGGAGGCAGAGGCCTGCCCTTGCATTGGTAATCAGGCACGCAGCCAATCAGCGCACGCCCCCGCATCGCTGCAAGCGGTGGCTCCCCATCATCATCACATCCTCATCACGCTACCACTACGCCATGCACCCGCCGCTCGCAACCAATTACCCGAAATGCCCCAACAACGCCGCCGCCGCCGGGTCACGCACGCGCGCCCTGGGCCAATACCGGCCCTCACGGATCGCCTGCGTCGCGCGCGCATCCAGTGCTGACTCCAGGCCCCATCGCTCTGCCAGCATCACGTGCACCTCGTCTTCAGGTATCCCCGAAAGCCCGACTACACCGGCTCGTGCTGGCGCCGCGAACCAGCATGCTTCCCACTCGCACTCCTCCCCGCCCGCCTGCACCGACTTTTCCTGTCCTGCGTCAGCCCGTCTCGCGCTGCTCCAGCATCCAACGCCACAAGCACGCGCCACTTACATATTCCCACTGCTCTCGCGACAAGGCAAACACGCCCGTGATGTTCCTGGGAAATGCCGACATCTTGTCGTCGTGGTGCGTGACCGTGACTCGCACGTCGTCACAGTCGTGCATCATGGTATAGACCATGCTGCGGATGCACTGCAGGAAATTGGCAAAGCAGCGCTGGCACTGCCGCCGGCTCTCTTCGCTGTCTGAACAAGGCAGCCCCGTCAAAAGGACAAACTCAATCTCCGCGCCGCCCTTGGGGCGACGGGCCAGGTAGTGCCCCAGTCCCTGGACGTTAGACCACGCCGACCGCAGGAAGCTCTGCTCGTACGCATATGCTTCGACGCCGGTCGCGTCCTTGGGCATGTCTGAGAAAAAGTGCTCCAGCTTGACGCGGATCTGCAGTCTGCGAATGTGCTCTGCTGCGAAGAACAATGGATCCAGCTCCAGGGCCGCAGCAAGACGCGGACGACGACCTTGGGGCCACTTTTGCATACTGTAGCCAGTGTGGTGGCCGAAGAAGTTTGCTATGCCGTCTTCGACGCTACACAGGGAAAACGTATTGTGCGTGTAGTACATCTTCTGCATCTCATACGACATGGCTGGGCCAACATATCGGGGGTCCAGCAGAGGGCTACTTGGAAGCACCATGTCGCTGGGCGCTCTATGCGTGTGTTCTTCCTTGATGCGGCCGTCTGGCAGCACAATGCAGTCGTTACCAAGATCAATGTCTTCCGTGTCTGGCGAGACGTCCAGGCCGGACAGATGCTCAATAGGCTTTGGGGTTCCTTGGGTTTGGTGACGCCAGCCAGCGTGCGAGTCGAGGGCTGCTTCGGGTGGCGGGGGAACGACGGGCGGCACATGATAGCTGCGGAAATGGTAGTAGGGTCCGGCTGGGATGGGACGGCCTGGATCCAAGCATAGATATTCGTAGACCAGCTCCCGCAGCGCTGCAGGAAGCTTTTGGTGCATCCTGTGTGCCAGCTCGAGGCAGGCGGCCCGTGCGTAGCAAAGCAGGCGTGTCTGGTAGTCGCTGTCCAGGCCGAGCACTTCTTTTTCGCTCTGCGCGAGCTGACGCTTCAGTCGTGTCACTCTGCCGTGACGTCAGCTATATTCGCAGCATTGCGCTTCAGCAGCCGTGCAATGGCATGGCGGCAACATGGATCCTTGGCTTCAGGGCCTTTTTGGCGCAATTGCTGTGCACTCGAAAACGACGCCACCAACGTGACTAAATACTTAGCCAAGATGATAAACTCACTCGTCACGCTTCTTTTGCGCCTGCGCCGCCAAGTGCCGCAAAGGCGCCTGCAACTGCCCGAGGTCGCTCGGGGCCTCCATTGTGTATGCTCGGAATATCAGCAGCGCAAAAGCCAAATACGCACACACAAGAAAAAATATCCACGTCGATGTGAGACATGTGTAGTCTATGGAGACAGGCCCCCCCCCCTGGAAAAGATGCAACCCGCACCCCACACATGCTAGCGCGGGCGCATCTTGGCCCGCCCCCAAGACGCGTCGCGTAGTCAGCCATGTCTCCAGCGTCCACCACCCTCGGCATGGGTTGATATGGCCACAATCAAGGCCATAGAGGGCCGCTCCGTCCACCACATCCAGTCGGGCCAGGTCATTGTTGATTTGCAGTCTGTCTGCAAAGAGCTCGTTGAAAACAGCATCGATGCGGGCGCCACCGCCGTTGGTATGTCTTCGCACTGCACAGCACCCCCTCCCTCCACACAGCGGCAGACGACGACTGACCCCCGCCACCACACACAGAGGTGCGTTTCAAGAATTATGGCCTCGACTCCATTGAAGTCCAGGACAATGGTTCCGGCATCTCGCCCGACGACTACCACACCATTGCCCTCAAGCACTACACATCCAAGCTTGCCACCTACGACGACCTCTCGTCGCTGCAGACATTCGGCTTCCGTGGTGAGGCGCTGTCGTCGCTATGTGCCCTCTCCAAATTCCACATTGTTACCAGCCGCGCCTCGGATGGACCCAAGGGCACCAGGCTAGACTTTGAGCAGTCGGGAAAACTAAAGGGGGCTTCGGTCATGGCCGCCAAGCAGGGCACAACTGTCGTGGTCGAGACACTGTTCTACAACCTGCCCGTTAGACGGAAGGAGCTTGAGAAGAACATCAAGCGGGAATACAACAAGGTCCTGCAGCTGCTCAATGCATATGCATGCATCAGTGTCGGTGTCAAGTTTTCCGTGAGCAACCAGATACCCAAAGGGTGAGTGCGGGCCATGTGCTGTCCTGTGTCTGCCGCCTTCGCTGACATGCCTCCAAGGAAAAAGACTGTTGCCTTTTCTACCAATGCCAATACAAACACGCGGGACAACATCGCCAATGTCTACGGTGCAAAGACGGTTGTCGCCCTGATACCTCTCAGCCTCGAATTCACAATGGACCCTTCCAACCGCCCGGGTGCTACGCAGAGTGCAAAGAATTGGTCCACACAGGATGAGGCAGCAGAGCATGCAGTCAAGATCGTGGGCCACATATCCCGCCCCGTCGTAGGCGAAGGCCGTCAAACGCCCGATAGACAGATGTTTTTTGTAAACTCGCGGCCCTGCAATTTGCCTCAGGTGGCCAAGGCGTTCAACGAGGTCTACAAGTCCTACAACATCACACAGTCTCCGTTTATCTTTGCCGACATTAAGCTTGACACGAATGCCTACGATGTCAATGTGAGTCCAGACAAGCGCACCATCATGCTTCATGACCAGTCCATGCTTTTGGAAAACCTCAAGGAGTCTCTGTTAGAGCTGTTTGAGGGCCATGATCAAAGCGTGCCTCAGGCCCAGCTGCTTGGGAATAAGAAACCGACATCTGCCTTCAAGCCTCCCCTCATGCAGCCCCGTGGAAGCACTACCTCTGCACGGGAAGACGACCAGAGCGGTTCTGAAGATTCGAATGAAGATCAACCCGTAACACCAAAGATATCTGAACAACTCTCGACACGAGATACGCCCGACACGGCCGAACGACCTGGCTTCGTGAGGGCAAGCCTTCTTGAGCGATTCGCTGGTCGTGATTCGGAAGATCGAGTGGCCCGTCCACTACCCAGATCTGGAAAGGCTACCTCTCCTAAGCATACTAAGGCTGATGAGACGCACATCATTCCCCCAGACACACGTCGACGCAGCACGTTATCTGAAGAGGGCGATGTAGTCGACCCAATCCGTCCACGTTCGCCATCCCCGTTGTTTGAACCGGAACAAAACAAGGCCCATGTTGCCATCAGACACTCTCAACCTCCCAAGATTGTTCAAGACTTCAACGCTCGCATAGCTTCTCAGAGTCCCCGCTCTGCAATACCACATCAGTCATTGCCTGCCGAGCCTGATCAAGAAGGGGGGGAAGAAGAACAGACCATTCCGGCCATTGTACAGACGCCTCAAAAACCCTTGTCGCAGAGTACCATTCAAAATGCTTTTGACCGCATGCGTCCCATGCGGACTCCAGTTCAAAAGGCCACAATAACCGTGGGTGACACCACGACTGTGTCTACAATCGGCACGGGTGGCCAATCGGTAGCCTCGAAGCGATCGAGGATACATACGCCAAAATTTTCTCTGTCTGGCAAGCCACTGAACCAAACGCCAAAGCAGAGTCTGTTCAAAATGGGCTTGAGTGGTTTCACTGCACCAGGCACTCAAGAGGAGAGCAGTGACGAAGATGGAGATGACGAGGAAGACGAAGCCATAGAGAACAGTAACATGTCTGATATGCCCATACGCTCCTCCTCTCCAGTCAAGCGTTTGCCGAACAGGTCGTTTGAGGAGCCAGATGCTGAGGACCTGGTACACTCATCAAGTGTTGTTCCGGCTCGCCTAGCATCAGTCTCTGATGGTTCTCCAGACATGGAACCAGAACTAGAGGTAGACGTGGGAAGTACAGACGAAGAGTATGAGGACGAGACCGAAAAGAAAGCAAAGGAAGAAGCTAAAATCGCTCGGCTTATTGAAGAAGCTGAAGAGAATGCGGCTCGGCCCACAGAAATGAACCTGAAACGCGCCAATAAGCTTTTCAAGGTCACACAGAAGAAGTACTGGACAATCAACCTTGAGCGTGTCATTGAGACGACTGTAGATTCAATCGCTCGTAATCTACAGGAAATTCAAATGGCTCTCGATGCATCACTGGCAAAAGCCGAGCAGATGGCAACGTTGCCTACGAGCACCCAACTGAACGGGGAAGACCCAGAGGAGCGGCTTAGTCTCACGGTAACAAAAGCCGACTTCCACGAGATGCGCATCATTGGGCAATTCAATCTAGGCTTCATCATTGCTGTGAGGCCGCCGACCTCGACTTCGCCCACTTCAGATCTGTTTATCATCGACCAGCATGCTAGCGACGAAAAGTACAACTTTGAGCGCTTAGCTGCGACGACAACACTAGTGTCACAACGTCTTGTTCATCCGCACCCGCTCGAGTTGACTGCAGTTGAAGAGGAAATCATTCTAGCAAACGAGCATGCACTTACCGCCAATGGCTTCGTTGTTGAGATGAACGCTTCCGAGGCTGATGAAGCTGGCCATCGTGCCAGACTAATTTCCTTACCAATGTCCAAGGAGGTAACATTTACACCCACAGACCTTGAAGAGCTCCTGGCCCTCATCTTGGACAATCCGCCGTCATCGTCAACCTCGACATCACCGCATATACCGCGTCCCTCCAAGGTCAGAAAGCTACTCGCGAGTCGCGCTTGCAGAAGCTCAGTGATGATTGGTAAGACTCTTCAAACGCCACGTATGAGGGAGATTGTTCGCCATATGGGTAGTATGGACAAGCCATGGTCTTGTCCTCATGGCCGACCTACGATGCGCCATCTGTTTGGTTTGGAAAAATGGCAGGGCTGGAGTGAGGGAGACGGTGTCACCGGAGTTGACGTGCAGGGGGAGAAGACGGATTGGGCAGCTTACATGAAGATGAATAAGCGTTGAAGCAGCACGAGGTGTCAAAATCAAGGGGATTTGTTTTGCAGTCTGCGTTGGATCGTTGGTGGCTGTTCAGTCTATGTGGTTATGACACTCGAATATTTCGGTATTCTTAATCACAGGAAAACGGATATTGGATGTTGGGCCAGGAAAGACGTATTCATAGCACAAATTACAGGTATCCTAGATAGCATTGGCGCTGGCAGAGCAGGTATGATTCATAATTTCAACGATGCAACGAGATAACAGCATCAAGACACAATGTGAGAGATGGAAAATCAATCATTCGGCCTTTTCTGTGTGTTGTCTGCAGCCAGAGAGTGGATTTTGAGCAAGAAGAACGGTAGGTAGTAAAGAAGAAAAGAACCGCATCAGTATTGGACATGGCACTAGTATTATCGGGCTTGGTTTGCTACTAGACAGTGGTGTGTGGGTAAAGCATGTTCCCTGGGTAAAGCAATCCGCTTGCTTACAGACACCTTACCCATTCTTCGTATGCAAAGGGACATTGATGTGGCAAATAATTATTTCGTAGCTAAGTTTTTTGTCATTGAGAAATTCCCAGTATATTCTGAACCTTGCTGCAAGCATGCGAGACTCTGTGCTGGCAACAGCTTGGACTGCCGCATCGTTTGCCCCATGTCCAGCAGCACTCAGTAAACGCAAATAGCGCATGCAGCGAAGCACAAATCTCGCTATGCAGTAACTCTCTCCATCCACTTTGGCCACGTACATGCAATCTCGCAAATTTCTTCTTCGCCTGGTTTCTCGTTCACAATACCACATTTCACGCAACATGCTGCAGCCCACTGCATTGCAGAACGACAAGGATAACAACAACAACAACAACAACGATAACGATAGTGGAAATGCTCGCGGCCCTGCTGATTTCTCCTGGGAAACAGCCAAGACCTTCTGGATTATTCTCATCATCGCCGCCATTATTTCCCTGTTGCACGTCGTGTACAAGATCGACAAAAGCAGACGCTACAAGATGCACGCGCCGGATGTTAGACTTGTCAGCGTAGCTACAGGACGAGCGGCGGCAGCAGCAGCGGTGACAGCAAATGTAGAGCCTGTGGAATCGGTGGCAGGAGACGAAGAGGAAGAAGAACAAGATGGATTGCAGAGACCCGGAAGGGCAGTGGTGAGAATGACGAGGAGTAGCAGCGACGTTTCGAATCTCCCGCGGTATGAGCGGTTTGACGAGGGCGCGGCGTGTGGAGAACATGTCAAGGTGGAGCGGAGGGTGAGGTATACGTATGTTTTGGGGCAGGCTTGGCCTGGGGGAGTGAGGAGAGGGTGAGGTGCTGGTTATTTTGGACGTCGTTGCTTGAATCAAAGATTTTGTTTTGGAACGTGAGAAATACGTAGTGGAATGCAGACTGATCTCAAGTGCTGCATGGTTTTTCCGACTGCTTGTGATTTATTCGTGCTCTTGTGGCATCAGAGAAAATTCGAAGATGGATACTCCTGATTCAAATAAGCATTCCAGAATACAATACCCGATCCAAACTTGTAGTACCAGACACATGAGTGAAACATACGACCCAAAGCTCAGATAGCGTTGCGTCTGATGTCTTGGTCTGCGTTTGCTACCAAGGTGTTCGTTGACCACAAAACCACGTCGCTTGCGTGTACATCATATGCCAACGCACTTCAGCAATACATTTTCTTACCAGCGTGTCATCTCAACACCACTAGTCGGCATAATGGAGCTGGAAAGCATCGCGATCATCTGCCTGGTAACGCTTGTCGTGCTCATTTTCCAGATTGTTGTTACTCTACATCTATCTTTGCATTTCTACAGTCGCATCCGGGCAAACGAGAGGACAAAAGATAGATGTGGGCCTGGTGCGATATTCGAAGCTCAGCCCAGTCTGGAAGAGGGGAGAGCACTGTCCGCACGTTGTTTGGATTCTCCGTCAGTTGCTGGCCGCCCCTATGCGCCAAGTTCTGTGTATAGCAGCTCGACAGCGGCCAGTGGACAGAGTCCTTTAGATGGAGCAGCAATGTCGTTTCCGTCGCCAGTTGCGAGCTACTTTTCGCAGGAAAGCGTGCCCAGAGCGGGCCCAGCTGGAAATGCCACTGGTCCAGAAAGCATGACTGCACATGGGGAGGTGGACGGGCGGGATGCGATGTCGTCAAGCCATGGAAAACCTAGAGGAGAGGCGTGAGGCGGTGACGTATACGTAGTGGCTGAACATGGTCCGTTTTTTCTTGCGCAACCAATCTGGGGTGGTCCTTGTCTTGCGATACACATGGAGGGGTAATGAAGGACGCAAAGGGTGGGTAGAAATTGAGTAGACGAGGTTGAGTCGACGCATGCGCATTTTGTATTTTTGTAATCCTTCTAACGAGCGTGATTCCGACATTTATCGTGTGGTGGAGCCAGCGGCTGAGTGAAACAAAAGGCTCATGGCCTTGCATGTGAAGAACTGCGTACTGGGTAGTTTGCTCGGTAAGGCGGCCATCCGCCGAGCCGAGCGACGCTGCCGATGGGGATGCAGACGATGAAGCGAGGGTTGATAGGAATATGCTGCGAGTATGTAGACATGCAAGTGATGCAGAGGAGCAGAGAGACAGCTGCGTTGTTATGTCAGCAGCCATGACGGGCAGCCAAGAAGACCAGGACAGGACAGGAAGGCGGGCAGCCATGGCGGAGCGGAAGAGACCGGTTTGGCGCACGAAGACGCCCGCGGCCGGTGGAGCTTTCTTTTTCAGTATCCGAGCTTTGCGCAACACCTCCCGCCGCCGACGACGACAACGACGACAACGACGATTCTCTCCCACGACCTGCTCCTGCCCTGGTGAAGCTCCAATTGGGTAGCACGAGAAACACACTTTCACCCGCATCATGTTGGCTGCTCGCTCCTTTGCCTCGCCTGCGCGCCAATGTCTGCGCCAGGCCAACCGCTCCAGGTGGGCGCCCGCGCTGTCCCAGGTGAGCTTCCAGCGGGGAAAGACGCCTTTTCCAGTCCTTTGTCCTTTGTGCGGCTGGCGATAGTGCTGCAGCAAAGGCCCCCCCAAAAAGAGAGAAGGAAAGAAAGAAGAGAAAGAAAAAAAAACAAGGCTGATGCGTGGCCCAGATCTCTGCCCGAACCTACGCCTCCGAGGTGGCCAAGTTCAAGGGAACCAAGGACAGCGACGGCAAGTACTGTGTCACGCTGATCGAGGGTGATGGCATTGGCCCCGAGATTGCGCAGTCGGTCAAGGACATCTACTCGGCCGCCAACGTGCCCATCAAGTGGGAGTCGGTCGACGTGACCCCGCGCCTCAACGAGGACGGCAAGACGGTCATCCCCGACGAGTCGATTGCCAGCGTCAAGAAGAACCTGGTCGCGCTCAAGGGCCCGCTCGCGACGCCCATCGGCAAGGGCCACGTCTCGCTCAACCTCACGCTCCGCCGCACCTTCAACCTCTTCGCCAACGTCCGCCCCTGCCGCTCCATCGCCGGCTACAAGACGCCCTACGATGACGTCGACACGGTCCTGATCCGCGAGAACACCGAGGGCGAGTACTCTGGCATCGAGCACATTGTCGTCGACGGCGTGGTGCAGAGCATCAAGCTCATTACCCGCGAGGCCTCTGAGCGCGTGCTGCGATATGCCTTCCAGCACGCCCGCGACATTGGCCGGAAGAAGGTGCGCGCCGTGCACAAGGCCACCATCATGAAGATGTCCGACGGCCTCTTCCTCAGCACCGCCCGCGAGATTGCCAAGGACTTTCCCGACATTGAGTTTGACGCCGAGCTGCTCGACAACACGTGCCTGAAGATGGTCACCGACCCCATTCCATACAACGACAAGGTTCTCGTCATGCCCAACCTGTACGGAGACATTCTCTCCGACATGTGCGCTGGTCTGATTGGCGGTCTCGGTCTGACCCCCTCTGGCAACATTGGTGACAACTGCTCTATCTTCGAGGCGGTGCACGGTTCTGCGCCTGACATTGCTGGCAAGCAGCTCGCTAACCCCACTGCGCTCCTCCTCAGCTCCATTATGATGCTGCGACACATGGGTCTCACCCAGGAGGCCAGCAACATTGAGCAGGCCATTTTCAAGGTCCTCGCCGAGGGCAAGGTGCGTCGCATGGATGCTGCTTACAGACGACTGATTGCTAACTCGACTTGCAGACCATCACGGGCGACCTGGGCGGCAAGGCCAAGACGTTCGAGTACGCCGACGCCGTCATCAAGGCGCTCAAGTAGATTAGGTTATGGAATTTGATGAGCATTGACACGACGGAATGGCGGTCACTGCATATTCTGGTCATGTCCTAGTCCCTGTACTATAGCTGCCATTTAGCTAGATATACGCCGATACCTTTGAAACTTGTATATTGAGAAGATATGACTGTAGTATTTCGCCCATGTTGCGACTTGGTGAGGATGGCATGCGACTGGACTGTGCAGCGCGCGCAAGATTAGCCGAGATGCGCAATGACCTATTACTTACTAGCATAAGCTCGCTATCCGCCAACCGACCAGTTCCCCCAATGCCGCCCAAACCTCCCTTCCGTCTCGCTGCGAAGCCTCCCGCAGCGCCAAAAGTGCATGTGAAGCCTGCGCCCCCCAAGACTGCCATCAAAGCCGCGCCCCGAGCCCCGCCATTGTCCAAGTCTACCGCAGCGCCGTCGGCATCATGGAGCCAGGTCCCCCCACGATCCCCGCCACCGTCAGAATGGCCTGAACAGGGACGCGCCCGCTCGAGCAACCGCTACGTGAAATGGGGCACCAATGGCCTTGTAGCAATGTGCGCCATGCTGTTTGTGCGCGATCACTTTGTGGAATTCCAGCATGTTCGCGGTTCGTCCATGGCGCCTACGCTGAGTCCGGATGCGCACGAGACGGGCAGGGAAGACTATGTCATTGTGCGGTCCTATCTGTGGCGGGGCAAGAGAGCAAGCGAGGAGCACGATGCTGCATGGGACATCCAGCGCGGCGACGTGGTGACGTTTTGGAAGCCACATAAGCCCTCGGAAATGGGCATCAAGCGCGTCGTAGCCATCGAGGGCGACACGGTATACCCGACGCGCGGGTATGCTCTGGATCCCGCGTCTTACCAATCGCGGATGCAGGGCTTTCCGGACGGCCTTGCAGACCGCGACCCGGACTCGATCGTGCCCGAGCCAGAGGTGGGAAAGGTGGTGGTGCCATATGGCCATGTGTGGATTGAGGGCGACAACTGGCGCAGGAGTCTGGATAGCAACGACTTTGGACCGATTAGCAAGGGCCTGATCCAGGGCAAGGCGGTAAAGGTGTGGAGGAACTGGTTTAGCCTGATGGATGTGGCAGATGAGCGCAAGAGGAGGGAGAATGATATGAGGAGTCGGATTGTAGAGGGACGCAGCGAGATTCCGCAAGCGTATCTGGATTAGCATATGAGGCGCGTCTGATATGCATACACGCATCGTCGTTGCATGTCACTCACAGCTGCTCAGGCACCGCGCCAGAGACGCAAACGTCTCTAGTCTTGGCTGAACTCGCAGCGACATTTTCAATGGCCTTTGAAGAGCCGTGGCAGCCTTATCTTTGCCAGCAGGGCGCTCCAAGACACTTGTGTGCGGGGGTTGTCGTATTCTTGCCAGTGAAGCGGGGAGCAGAACCATGAGACGCTCCGATATACTGTGGCCGAGGCTCCAAGATGCGACTATGACGGCATGTCTGCATGTAGTAGGTTGGTAGTGGCGAGTATGGCGAGAGGCGAGGCGAGGGATAGCGGTTTGCAACCTCGTACTAGAATACGTGGTCCCAGAGTAGGCGTACCGTGCCATGTTGCTGCATGCGACTCTCTTTGCCACGATGCGGGGCTGATATGGCGGACGTCTGCTTTGTGTTTTGTACACACAGATAGACACAGATACTCAACGACGCTGCTGGCTGTTGCTGAGACGGCACTTGTCCAGTGCCCCAGATGCATGGCCTGGCTTGGTGTCCACGCAATGGCAATGCGGGATATCTTCGTCTGCCTCGACCGGACCCCTCTCTCCCCCTCTCGTGCCCCTGTCCAGACCCTGTGCGTCGCGCCTTCCCCGCGCTAGCTCACTGCAGGCCAATTGCCCCACCAAGCTACGCGCGTTGAATGCACCAGAGCTCACCGCTCAGACCAGACCACCTGTCCGACAACAAAAGCTCCAGCTCCAGCTCCTCTGCTCTGCTCTGCTCTGCTCTGCTCCATCCAGCTCTGCTTCACAATTGCTTTTTCCCCAGCCCTCCCCTGCATCATCCCCCTGCATCAACAACACCCCTCCCAATCATCCCCACAATGGCAGCTGCAATCCCCCCAGGCGGAACCTTCTTCGACACGGTCCAGAAGAGGTTCGTCGATGTGCCCGTCGACGAGTCCAAGGACAATGCCATCCAGACGACCGACTTCCTCGAGGCTGCCGAGGGCCTGACGACGCTCTTCGATCTCCTGGGCTCGGCCGCCTTCAAGCCTGTCAAGAGCGACATGACTGGCAACATCAAGGTCCGCACTCATCCGGCCACGGTGCAAGCTGCGTGTGGATGCTAACGCGAGGCAGAAAATCCGTGACAGGCAGCTCGCAGCACCCACACTCTCCGAGACTCTCCAGGACCTTGTCCTCAACGAGCTCAAGGAGAAGAAGCACACTGCCACCGAGGGCCTTGTCTGGCTCAACCGGTATGCATGCATTCGTCGAACCAGCAGCTCCAGGAACTTGTGCTGACAGCTTCGTTTTGTAGTGGCCTCGACTTCACTGCTCAGGCTCTCCGCCACAACATCACCAATGTCTCGCATGAGCTCGCCGATTCGTTCCGTGAGGCCTACGGCAAGACGCTTAAGCCCCACCACTCGTTTATCGTCAAGCCCATCTTCAGCGCCGCCATGAGCGCGACACCATACCGTGCCGATTTCTACAAGAAGCTCGGCGAGGACGATGCAAAGGTCCAGGCTGAGCTGGAGACGTACCTGTCTGCGTTGGAGAAGGACGTTGGCATCCTGAACGAGTTCCTGGCCCGGAAGGAGGCCAAGTGGTAGATCCACTGTGTCTACACAAGTTAAAAAAAAGGAATAACGAAAGGTTGGGTTGAGAATCGGCCAGCGCCGTTGATGTGTCATGTTGTTACGACGAGCATGATGAATATGAGCAGATTAGCTCTCCCGCACGAAGCCTCGTTTCCTGCTGCCTGTCTGCGTGATGTTCTTTTCGTGCTTCTCAGTCCGACCTTTTTCTCTGAAATACAAACAGTGCCTCGTCCTTGCCGGCAAAGCTCGGCAATGGCATTCTCAGCGTGAGTTCAAAGTGAGACAAGTTTTTGGCGACCCATTCATCTACAATGACGTCCCTGAAGGCCGTGAAGCCGTTTCTGTTTTGCGTGCCGGCAACGACAATGGTGTCGCCCTCAAAGGCCTTGAGGATTGGGCCTGTAAAGTCTCCGGTTGCCTGTGGATAGACGAGCAGCAGGACGCATCCCTTGCCGTGGTTGTTTTGTTTGAGATAGTGCTTGCCATCCATGTGGATGGTGTCGTTGATCCACGAGACGCGGTACTCGCTGACCTGGCTGTCGATGGCACGGACATTGAGCGGTTTGGTGGCGCCAATATGGGCAATGGGGAAATGGCGCAGCATATACGTCCAGTAGCCGTTTCCGGAGCCAATGTCGAGGATTGGCAGGACGTCTTCTTTGCTGGGGCGCGCGGGCTGGGCCAGCTTGGCGATGGCATGCAGCGCGGCATACGAGGGCACGACGCAGCCAAAGTGATGGTAGAAGAGGGGCAGAATGTGGTGGCTTATCCTCGTGTGCGTAGTCGACGGCAGTGGGCCGGCCCATTCCAGCTCTTGGCACGAGTACCTCCAGAGATCAAAGTAGGGGTTCTTGTGCTCGCGCGGCTTTTTGCTGGGCACAAGGCCGAGATGCGGCGATGCCGTGTTGTGTAAGCGCGCGGCCAGATGCGTGGCTATTTCTAGGCGCAGGCTTTGTGCTTTTGCGCTCTTGAGGAAGCTGTTGAGGGCCTTGGGGAGATTGGCCGAGGCGCTGAAGACGTCGGTGTATGCCTTTATCTCGTCGAGCGAGGGGTGCGGCGGCTCTTTCTGGCTGGTGGTTAGGGGTTGGGCGTGGACATGGGATGCATGTGGTGTGTCTGGAAGTGTTTGGGCAAGGAAACATTGGCTGTTGCTGGAGATTCAACAGGGAGTACAGTAGGTGTACATACAGGCTTGCCTTTGTCGTCTGTGTACCATGCATGCAGCCCGTGTTGCCTCTTTGCGTCAATGGCTCGCTGTGTAGCCAGCAGCGTAGTCTCTGCCTGTGCCCGGTAGACATAGTCGTCCGTGGGCGGAATGTCGAATGCTTCCCCTATGCATTGTGCCAGCGGCTTGTCGCTGTACAGTGGTGAGTACTTTTCCTCGGACCACTCGTCCAAAAAAGTATTGGGGTTGAACTTCTGGAGCGCCATGCCGGCCCCGAGAGATGTATTGTTGCAGTCCCAACCGACGAGTGCGATTGCAATGCACACGTGAATTCCCAAGCTCTTTCTTGCGCCTGCACGACTATTCCAACCGGCTGTAGTTAATGTGCATATGCGAGAAGGCTGGCTCTCACGGAACCGGGAAAGTCGGACATAGAGAACAGCAAAATTGCCGACTAAAGCGCTTCAGGTGGTGCGCGCGCGCCAGTCGTTAGCTTTGATAGTAGCTGTACGGCTCAATAATCGCTTTTGCTATTTAGGTCTCTTTTGTATACTTATTTAAGATATTTTCTTTAATTCTAAAATTTTAGATTTTAATATTAAGGTGTTGTAGTGTTGGTATATGGCATTGAAAATAACGAGTTTTGGTGGGGAGAGCCGGTTGTTCTCTATTTCCGACTTTCCCAGTTCCGTGAGAGGCTGGCTGTGACGGGGGCGGCGTCTGTGCTGCAGAGTTCCTCGGCAAGCAGCCAATGGGGCGGCGCTGATGAAGAAACGGCGGGCATTCCGTCATCCATCAGTAATCAGGCTAGCGTGCTTTCCATGCCCACGCCAAATCCTTACCTTAGCTTTACCATGTCTTAGTCACTTATTGCAAATGCACTCGGCGCTGCGAAATGCACCTTCGAGATGATGCGCGAACTCACACCCCATCGCTCGCCCGCCGAATATAAAGCGCGACAGAAACGCCCGCCGTGAAAAAAACTCTCTTTTCGTGATGCCAGACACAACAACAAAATCATCCAGCGAACCCAAACAGCCTTCTTCACCAATCAAGACACCATACTCGACTACTACAAAGACACTCACCGTACTTGTTGGACTTTTAGCAGTCATCCTGGCTTTCTCCAGCGCCTTCCGAAACACTTTTTCTTCTGCTCTCTCCAAACCCGTCACTCGCGCCATGTCTACTGCAGCACCGGCCTCTATGAAGATTACCAAGCGCCCCTGGTCGCAGCGCGGACATGCCGACCACGGCTGGCTCTACACATACCACACCTTTTCCTTTGCATCGTACTACGACCCGCGCCACGAGAGCTGGGGCCCGCTCCGGGTCATCAACGAAGACCGTGTCGAAGCTGGCACTGGATTCGGTATGTATTCCTCGTAGTTACACGCACATGTTGCTTGCCGTTGACTTGCTAACAACCAAAACAGGTACGCACAGCCATGCAGAATTCCTCATCTTCAGCTACATTGTCAACGGCGTGCTCGAGCACAAGGACAGCATGGGCAACCTGGAGAATCTCAAGCGCGGCGAGGTGCAATTCACCAGTGCGGGCACGGGCATCCGGCACTCAGAGTACAACCGCAACTCGGATTCGGAAGTGCATTTCCTGCAGATCTGGGCCAAGCCCAACAAGAGGGGACTCAAGCCGCACTATGAGACGAAGAAGTTTCCTGACGAGGACAAGACGGACAAGCTTGTGAGAATCATGGAGTACACTGATCGCCTGGCGCAGAGCAAGGGGGCTATTGGCCTGCAGGCGGATTTGAGCATGGATGCGTCGATTCTTTCGCCCGGCAACAAGGTGGTGCACGATGTTGTTGCCGATGGGCCCCGGAAGCTGTTTGCCCATGTTGTCATGAGTGGACGCGAGCAGCCAGCCCAAGGGGGAGCGCAGATCAAGATTGGTGACACGGTGCTGGGCGAGGGCGACGGCGCATACATTGATGGCGTGACGGGACCTGCCAAGGTGGAGATTGAGAGTGTTGGCGACAAGCCGGCCGAGTTTTTGCTATTTGACATGGGGCCTGAGGACGCGTAGATGTTTCTTTTAGTGTTACCAATCCCATGGCTAGTTTCATGGGAATTTTGTGTCCATGGCGAATTTGCTTTGAATTTAAGAATATGATTTACCCGTCACTGCCATTTGAATGTCTTCCATGCCTGGTACAATTCTCATGGGCAAGGAGGCAAGTAGGTGTGTGTCAGCTTGCTGTTTAGTAACATTTGTCGAATGATCATCGGTGCAAAACCAAGACAAGTTTTACAGATTAATTTGCGTCGTTTAGGTGTAGAGTGTATGTGGAATGTGTGGTATGAAACAAAGTTGGTTGTTGGTGGATAGCATTTGTGCATTGCCCTCGGAACGGAGGAAAGGATTGATTGGCATTGTTTGGACTAGATTGGAACAACATGTACGTGATACGCATACATGTGGCGTGTACTCTAAAGCCAGTAATTGCAAGCATTGTTGATTTAGATTAGAAGAGAAAAAAAAACGAGTGCGTGTCTTTACGGAATGACAGCACACGGCATGGCATGGCATGGATGCAACATGTGGGTGTGACAAGTGCAGTTGCAGTGCAGGCTAGTATCATGGGGCAGGATGAGACAAAGCATGTCATCTGGGAGCCATTTCGCTTAAGCCGCTTGTCGGGGTTGACGAGAAAGACGGCTATTTCGGGAGATATGCAGCGAGATCAGCGTTCAAGTATCCGGGGAACAAGGCTATGAAAACAGGTTCCACGAGCGGTGTTGGTGTGAGGTGTGTGTGTGTGTGTGTGTGTGTGTGTGGATAAAAAAAGGTGGTTTTGCATGCATCAAGGGGGCTTTATGTTTGTGTTTGTGCTCTTTGGGCACACTGTGCACTGGCGAGGCGGTGCGTCGACAACCATTGCAGGCGTGCTTTTATTATTGTCCATAGGATCGCCGTGTTTCACCCACCGACCAGGCGCAGCAAAAACAACTTGTTGAGGCGCGCCATGTTGGCTCGGGCTGCCCGCCCCCCCTTTTGACGGACATTGTGTCGAAGTTGTGCCGCAAAGAGCGTCGGGGAGGGGGGGCGCAGGCACAGGCACAGGCGTGCAGCCAAGGGGCGGCGGTGCTGGGGGTGGCGTGGTAACGATGAGCAAATGCAAAGGATCGGGATCAGGATGGCAATGGTGTGTGTGTGTGTGTGTGTGGGTGTGGATGTGAGCGAGAGGAAAATGTGGAGTGCAGCATGCAAAGGCGCTAGCGGGGATATGCATGATTGGATCCGCGGCGGCTGAAGCCCGCAGGGGACGCGCGGCACTACGTCATGGGCACGCTGCCTGTGGGAACCTCACCCCATGGCCATGCACTGGCAAGGTCAAGACACCAAAACAACACGCTGCACCCACGGCCATCACGACACTAGTATGCTAATCTTTTCATGCAATTGACTTATTAGAATGCTATAGACTGTCTGCATATACATGACGATGCCACCCGTCCCGTGCGTGCGAGACGGAGCGACGTGCCCTCATGGCTGTGTCGCTGGCTGACGGAAGAAAGCTGTCCGAGAAGAGGATGATGGAGAGTATCGACTACTACACGAGTAGAGGCGCGCAAGGGCCAGGCGCTTAGAGGAGGCCGGCAAGGGCGAAGAGTCCACCAGCAACGGCGCCGACAGCGGGAAGAGCGTGGTTGGCAGCGCCAGTCTCGGTGGGCGAGCTGCCCGATCCAGTGGCACTCGACGCGGCCGAGCCGAGAGATCTTGTCACCGACGAGGCAGCAGAATCGATCTCGGAGCGGAGCGAAGAAGCAGCGGCCGCGGCGCTCGAGGCAATGCTGGAGGCAGCCGAGGCAGCGTTGGAGGGGAGAGCACCGCCGGCCGACGTCATCTCGGAGCGGAGGCTCGAGGCAATCGAGGCAGCGTTGGAGGGGAGAGCACCGCCAGCAGACGTGATGGCGCCGGCAAGGCTCGTGGCGGCCGAGGCGGCGTCAGAAGGAAGGCCGGCGAGGGCAGATGTGATGTCCGAGGCAATGTTGTCGGCCTGGGCGTTGGCAGCGCTGGCGGCGAAGAAAGCAGTGGCGATGTAGGAGAAGCGCATCTTGGTGGCTGGGGGGGTTTGGTAGCAAAGGATTGAGTTGAAGGGTAAAGGGGAGCTGGGTGTAGCTGAGTGTGGAGTGGGTATCTGGCGTGTATGTGTGTGTGTGTGTGTGTGTGTGTGTGTGTGGAATGGAGGGCAAGAAGAGACTGGGCGAGCAGACGACTTTTATAGCAGCAGGCGGTTGGCATTCACGGAGCCGTCGATTGCACACGGGTGGCGTCACTGTTGCGCCTCTGGTGGTGGCTCTTGGCCTGGTATGTGGTCTGGAATAGGAGGGCATCAGCGATCGAGGCACTGGAGGTTGCGAGGGTTGCGAAGAGGGCGGTCCAGAATGGGGAGATATCGGAAAAGACGGGCTTGGCCGCCATGGAGAACAAGGATTTTGATGGCGAGATGGGCGTGGGCGTAGTAGTGTAGGGCTGCGGCCAGGCACACAGCCAGTTTTTGCAGCGCCACAGGAGCGCGTGAGTAAGTAAGCGCGCCAGCTTGTGGCGGGGTGCATTTCGTCATGGACCCAGCATGGGAGGCCTTGCGGAGGCCAGCAAGAGAGAGAGGGAGAGAGGGAGAGAGGGAGAGAGAGAGAGCTCGGGGAGATGCAGGGTGGCGGTGGCGGTGGTGGTGATGGGTGCATAGTAGCAGGTAGTGGTAGCAGTGGAGTAGTGAAGGCATGGGGGAGACGGGCGGGCGTCTCAGCGGGCTTGCGTTCCTGGCGGCGCTAGGCCCGATTGGGCAAGGGCATGTGACGACATGGTCCTTTCATCACTTGGCCGTGGTTCACCCACGAGACGGACGGCCATGCGCGCACGTCGATACTACCACTACCACTACCGCTACCGCTACCACGGCCACTACTGCACTGCTCATGTATCCATGGCGGCCGGCGCTGCCAACGCTCGAGTTGCATGGCCAGGGTCTCTGGCGCTGGGCCTCGGGTTGCATCGCGTCGACAGCGAAGAAAAGCTTGGCCCGACGACAACAGCTTGTTTCAGAAGTGGATACATGCACAATGGCTGTTGCGGCTAGGTGTAAAACGGGATCCGGGGCAATGCGCGGGCTGAGCATGACGGCGAGTGTGGGCGCAGTGCAAGAGGAAGAGCAGCCTCAGCCAAAGGCGTCTCTTGCCAACCGCCTCCGCAGGCCTTGGCTGCAACGTGCAAATGTCGCTTACCGTGTGCGCCGTGATGGTCGACACGGCATTGCCTCTTTGGCGACGTCATAGGCCAGAGCCGATGCACCGTCGCCGACAATCTCGACCGGTGCGTGTACTCGTACTTGCACTTGCGAGCGGCAGTGGCAGTGGCAGTGGCAGTGGCAGCAAGCCAAGCCAAGCCAAGCCAAGGCTAGTGTCGACATGGCCAGAGTAGGACATGGCGTGGGCGCGTTCCTGATGTCACTGTGTTGGCGCAAACGGCAAGCCCTTTTTCCCGACTCCGCCCCACACTCTACCTCATTCACCTGCATGTGGTATGCATCTTCATCTGTACCTGTGCCTGGGCCATCACGTGCGCATGCTTGTTTAATATCCACGGCCCCCACAGCAGCATGCCAACTGTGCTCGCACTCGCATGCACTAGGTGTACACTATACACGTCCATTCGCCCCGCGCCTGTCGTTGCACCACATGTGTGTCCATCCGTCTTTGCTGATCCAAATATATTGGTGTAACGATTCCACCAGAAACATAACAAGGTACATTATGCCGTCTTCGTGCACTGACATAGATCATGAAATTCCACTAACAAATAGGAGAATGTTGCATACTACGTTACTTGGCATGGCCTGGATTACCAGAGAACCACGCTTTGGCCAAACAATAACTAACACACTAATCCAATAACCCTTGGCCGCACAAGCAACCCTATTCTTCGCTCTTTTCATCCTGCTTGACATTGACCGCGCGGCTCAATGTGGCAATCTTCTTGCACAAGACCTTGATGGTTGACGTCCCCATAACATCCAACATTGGCACGTCGGCCTTTACGTCTCGCGCAAGGAACGTGCGGAATTCTATCGCCACCAACGAGTCGATACCATTTGCGCTGATGGACTTGTCGTCGTCAATATCCGCCGCTGCTACCGATAGCAAACTTGCAAGCTTGCCCTTTACCGCCGTCGTGATCATGTCAGCTGCCTCGCCCAGTGTTTTTGCTTGCGCAAGCAAAGCTTCCACCGCAACCTCTGTACTCTCGGACGCGGCAGATCCCAGCAAGCTCTCGCTGTTCAGGTGCGCAAACAGGGGGAAACTCATAAACGAAGGCGTCGGCATTCCCTTGGCGCGATATTTATCTCGGTGCGAGAGACCAGTGACAATCTGCGTCGGCGGTTCCTGTCGCGAATCCAAAGCGTATTCCAAAATTGCGTGAAGCTCCTCTTCGCGGATTTGCTCCAGTTCCACGCTGACGCCCTTGTTGATCGCCACACGCGACGAGTTTTCGGCCACATAGCCAACAGACAGGATAGCTCCAACATCAATGGTGGTAGCAGCGAGGCCTTGGGACCGCCGGTGCTCGGCAAGTGCGTCTTGATACGTGTTTCCAGCAGCGTAGTTTGCCTGGCCGCGGTTGCCGAGTATGCCCGTAGCAGAAGAGAGAAGCACAAAGTGGTCGAGGTCGCGTGGGAGATGCCTATGGAGATTCCACGAGCCCACCACCTTGGGCTTAACCGCCGACATGTATCTGTCATATGTCATGTTTTCAAAAATGGAGTCCTGTTAACCATGGTAAGTCGACTTCTTTTGCATGTGTGCTAGCAGGCTGGGCGATGGACTTACTGATAATTGCATCGCTCCTTGAATGACTCCCTTGATAGGTGGCAGGAGAGACTTGCATTCCTCCAACACGCTTACAAGGTTAGCAGCGTCGGTGACATCGCATTTTACAATGTGCACTCGACACTTCTGCTCTGTGAGCTGCTTTTCCATTTCTGCAACGGCCGGAGTAATGTTCCCACTACGGGAGAGGAACAACAAGTTGCGGGCGCCTCTCGACACCATCCATCTTGCAATACTTCGCCCCAACCCTCCTAGACCACCGCTCAGAACGTACGTTGCGTCTGGACTGAAGGTGAATGGGGTTTGCTGCTCCGGCACAATCGGGACCACATCATCTCCATGTGGCACAAACACCATTTTGCCTGTTCCACGACCCGATTGCAGAGTCTGGAAACCCTCAATCAGCTTCGACAGCGGCGAGACCGTTGTTGGTTTTGCCGTTTTGACGATTCCCTCGCTCCACAGGCGTACTGTGTCGTCGGTGAGCTGTTTAACCAGCTGCGGCCGACACTTCATCATGGTAACCAAATCAACGCAAGTCATAGAGGTGCCTCGCAGCAAGGGTCGCAACTCAATCTTAGAGTTGGACTGAATATCCTTCTTGCCAATCTCAATGAAGCGTCCAAAGGGTGCAAGAAGCTCCCAGGAGCATCGCAAAGCCTGAAAATGTGTGTCAGTGAAACAGACCAGGAAGCGTCAGCAGAATCATGTGCACATACATCGCCGGCGAGTGAGTTGAGAACGACATCCACTCCGTAGCCACCGCTTATTCGTCGGATACCTTTTGCAAAACTCAAGTCTCGACTCGAGAAGATATGGTCTTCCGGGATGCCGTAGTTTCGCATCAGCAACTATGATCAAGTCAGTCAACAATCTTCTACACACGGCCAGGTAGTAACCCACATCTCTCTTCTCCGGCGTGGAACAAGTGGCAAAAATCTCAGCCCCAACACTCTTCGCATAGTTTATCGCCGCCTGTCCCACACCTCCCGCTGCAGCATGGATCAGCACCTTTTCTCCCTTTGCGAGCCTTGCTACATCTCTCAGCGCATATAGCACCGTGACATACACGGCCGGAAGCCCAGCCGCATCGCTGTAACTCAGAGAGTCTGAGATCTTAGTTACTACCGACTGGTCCACGCGCCCAAAAGTGTGGAAACAGCCCACATGGTCGAGCCCAGTAATGTACGTTACTCGATCTCCGATAGATACATCGGTAACCTGGGACCCGACTCGAGAGATGACACCAGCGGCTTCACATCCGATACTGTACGCCATATGCTCGCCCATGGCAATCATCAGGTCTCGGAAGTTGAGACCCATTGCTTTGATCTCGATTTCGACGTGTGTGGGATCCAAAGGCGTGTTGTACACCGGGTCAGTGACCCATTGCAACCGATCCAGCTGGCCGGGCGAGGCGGAGGACAATTTGACTGGACGGCCAGCATTCTTCCAAGGCGTAGGAACAGGCTGTGGAGTGCTGAATTGAGACACGAGAAAATGGTTTCCTCGGGTGCTTGAGTGAAGACGGCTGGTAAAGCAGGTTCCTGCCTTCAAGAGATACTCTCCTTGCATTTCGTCTTTTGCGATGGCCTTGGAAAATTGCAGTGCGCTGAGCTTGCTTACGCATTGAATGAGGCCTGCCGTGTCTGGTCGTGGATTCGCCACGGACAATGTGACGAGATTTGCGTCATCAAGATCTCGCTCCCATCGCACTGTTCGGATGAGTCCGAGCGCCATACCGTTCTCCGGGTTTTCCACCATGTCTCCTGTGATCCAGAGAAGGCCGCGACACTCAGTCAGCATCTTTCGGAGACCCTCGTACTCTTCTGTCGTCAGGGTTGACAGAACAGGCCTATTCAGCTCAAGGAGTGAAATGCACAGGCTTTGATTTAGATCCTGGTCTTTCAGTTCCTTGATCGAGGCAATAGAAACACTTCCAATTCGGAGTGCTTTTTGCAACTGCTGTTGAAATTCCATGACCATGTCTTTGTCCATGGATTCAGGGGCAACAATGATCGCCTTCTCTTGCACCACATCCAATACCACATTCTGCTCCACGGCACGCGATACGAGGATGCTCTGCGTATGTGACACTAGATCTTGAGCGTCCTTCAACTCTAGCTCGACGCCGTCAAATCCAGCTCCGCTCAATAGCGTTCCCCACTTCTCTTTCGACGCAAAGGGACTCCATCGCCTCGTCTCTTCTTTCGACAGCCACCATCCACTTAGCTGTCCGAAAGCGAGAGCCGACCAGAAGTAGTCTTGTCTCATACCTTCCTGGATCATGATTCGACCGCCAGGCTTGAGAAGCTTTCTCAAGTTTGTCAGGGTAGAATGCAAATCCTCGGTTGCATGGATCACGTTCTGAGCGACAACGACGTCGTACATGCCGCACTCGAAACCTTGACTTTCAACGTCTTTCTCCGCATGCAGGACCTTGTACTCAAAGATCGATTGCCAAGACTTGAACTTGTCGCGAGCTTTGTCGAAGAAAGCTGACGAGATATCCGTGTATGTGTATTGGAGGACGCTGGATTGCAAAAGACGCCCATCTTCCGAGACGGGGGCCAGATGCCGGATCACGGCTTCGGTCGATGAGCCGGTTCCAGCTCCAACTTCCAGGACACAAAGGTTGGTGCGGTTTTCCCCCAGAATTTGCAGATATTTGGCTAGAAGCTCCGGAAGGTCTCCGAGTCGGACGAGATCAGCATACACTTGGTCTAGGATATCGTCCTGGCCAAACATGAGTTGAAGGGGGTCGGTTTCGCCACGCAACACAGAAACAATATTAGAACCCATTCTATAAGCTAGACGGCCTTCTGCCTTGTACTCTTGGATTTGGCGGTAGAGCTCAGCTTTGGCAGTATCGTTATCGCGAATGGCCTCATAATCGGCACGTGAGACGGATGAGATCTTGTCTTCTTTGGTCCAGTGTTCGAGTTGCTCCAACCATTGCAGGTAGTTTTGCAGGTGGCCTTGAGGAGTCCCAGGAAGCTTTCTATACTCGTCTAGAGCATCATGGACGAGGCAGAGAGTGGCCAGTTGCAACCGGTGCACCCATTCAGCTGTCAAACTATCCGGTCTCACGAGATGGTTCTCTGGGCTCAAGTCCTCTTGCGAGATGGTCTCGAGGTAAACAGGCCACTTGACTTCGTGGCACAACTCTCTACCAGTTGCTGCTCGCTGATCCGCAGAGTCCAATGGTGTGGCACGAATACCGGTGACTGAGATTCTCGCATCGCCAGTCATTTCGTCCCACACCAACACATCGTTGTCATATTTTTCGAAAGCGACTCGCTCAGTCCGGCCATGAACTCTGTATTTATGGCCAGGCAGCGCACTCAGCTCTGCTGACAGCCAAACGTCTTTGATAAACGTTGGAACTGCTGGATTCTCCAGACTTGTGGCACCGAAGAGATCCATGATGGCTGCAAGCGCAAAATGTATCATGCTGTCGAATGTGGCAGGGTGTATGAGGTGTGGTGAGGCGTATTGCTTGGGCATGGATGCGGCAATATCCGGCACCGTCACTCGCCCGATGACTGCTCCGCCTTGATTGCCAGTGCCTCTGGCGTCGGATCCATTCCTGAACAATGGACCGAACTGAAGTCCAACCGTGGCCATATTTTCGTATGCGCGGAACATGTCAAATGTTGCCTGACACCTACTCTCAGCATCCTGTAACTCTCGGCGTCGTATGGCTGCCTCTTCCCGAGCCTCCAGCCCACCATCAACAGGACCAGTGGCTGTAGCATATTCCACACCAATGTATCCTGTGCAGTGCTCAATCCAGTCGTCACCAGCAGGATTATAAGACAAGATCTGGAATCGACGCCACGTATTCGAGACCGTCAAGCTGGATTCATCCACCCGATTCATCGACAGCATGACTTCCAGCCCATCTTTCCCGTCTGGAACGATCATTGCCCGTTTAATTGAAATTTCTCTCAAGCGAAACGAGGTAATTGCCAGGCCTTCGTCGGCAATTTGCCGAACCGCCTCAATAGCCATGATGAGATAGCCCACACCTGGATAGACATGGGAATTGGTGACAATGTGGTCACGCAGCCAGGGCTATTCGCTCAATCGGAGGATATTTCTCCATTGAGGACGCTCCTTGTTCCAGTCAGGCACTGGTGCACCAAAGAGGTCATGACGAGGCGCTTTGCGGAGACGGTAGTTGCGGCTTATGCGACTTTCGTACCAGAGGAGCTGGGAATGATTGAAAGCATAGCCAGGGACATCGGCCAGTAGGGCATGTGTTTGTACGAGCGGTTCGTGCTCAGCACTTTGATTAATCTTTTCGAGGCTAATCGGGTAGCCACGACTCCAGATATGTCCCAGCGCGGTCAGCGCAGTCTCAGGGCCAGGTTTGGAGCGATTCAAGACGGGGAATGAGGTTATGGCGGATCCACCGGGTTGCGTTGCCAGGACGTCCTTGATAGCGCTTTGAAGGGCGCCATGCGAGCCAAGCTCCAGCACAACGTCCACGAAATGGTTGGCTCCCTGAGCATCAACCTGAAGAGAGACTTGGCCTTTCTGTGCGGACCGGAAACAAGTTGCTGACAAGCTATCAGCAAATTGAACTGGCGAAACCAAGTTCCTGACCCAATACTCAGCATCGAGTAGTTCATCGGTGATGAACGTCCCAGTCACCGTTGAGACCATGGCCACCGTGTTTGGCTGAATCGATCTTTCCGGCGAGAGACCCTCGAGAAGCGTTGTGTATTTAGTCGCAACATGATCCATGTGCGGCGAGTGGTACGCTTTGCGAATAGGCAACTTTCTCACAAAGATTTGCTTCGCTTGCAACGAGTCGTGAAGTTCCGAAACGAGATGTTCATCTCCAGATATGGTGCAGTTTCTAGGGCTGTTACTGCAGGCCACCACCAGGGTTCCTTTCTTAGCCAACACGTCCACATAAGGTCAAGCGTCGCGCTCTGCTAACCCCACGGCCAGCATCGAGCCTTTGAGCTCGTTTTCCTTTGCAGAAACTATGCCTCGGTAATACGCCACCCGCCATGCCGACTCGCGATTCAGCTTTCCGGAAGCGTAGGCTGCAGCTATTTCTCCTGAACTATGCCCTATGACTCTTGACGGTCTCACACCCCACGACCTGAGCAGATCCACCAATGCTACCTGCACTGCTGTACAAGCTGGTTGTGATAGCCAGGGTTCATTGATATTACTTTGTTCAGTAGTGTCGGATAATTCGTTGAGGAGAGACCAGGTTGCGCCCAAGGATGTAAAGAATTGGCTTGCCAGTGTCATGCTGTCCCGGAAAACAGGATAAACATACAGTTCCCGGCTCATGGCAGGATACTGAGCTCCCTGGCCTGTAAAGACGTAGGCGAGAGATATGGTTCCGCGTGCTCGGACGACTTTTGTGTGTATACTCGGAAGGGTTTCAAGCAGATCCAAAGCGTGTCCAGCGAGGAGAAAACTGCGCCATCCAAACTGGGAACGTTTGTTCATAGTGAAGGAATAGTCCTGCAAGAATGACGGCGCATGTACAGAACGAGACTGAACGAAGGCAAATTGTGCTTGGGCATTTCGGGATAGGCCTGCTTCGTCAAACGCAGAAAGGCCAATGAGCTGGGGAGGGGTTGGTATCTGTTCAGCCAACCGCCAGCTTCTTTGGCTATGATCTCCATCAACACCATTCTTTGTGGGCGGCGTCGTGCTCCCATTCTTCTGTGACGCATTCTCGTCGCCACTCAAGTGAGGAGGATCCGAGAATTCTTCTGCAGCACGACTCAGAATATCAATCTCTTCACTGGAAGGCACCCTACTGGCGGTCCGGTGTTTTCCGGTCAGCCCATGGTCTCGCAAGTAGTTGTATGCATCGTCGAGGATAGCATGTGAATTGGTTCCTCCTACGCCGAAGGAGTTGATCGACACTCTCCGAATACCTTGCGTAGGCCACGGCACAGCTTTGTCGGCAATAGAAAGGTTCCATTTGTCGAATGGAATCCTGGGGTTTGCCCGCTCAAAATTGGCTTGTGGTGGAATGACTCCGTTCTCGAGTGTCGGCACACCTTTGATGATTCTGCGCACGGAACCGTCAGTTTTGAGTAGACATTTGTTGCTTCAACGAAGCTACTTGATGACGCAACATACCCGGCAACGCCCGCGGCGCCTTCAAGGTGCCCAACACTGGCCTTGATCGAACCCAGATATAGCGGTCTGTCCTTCCGCCTCGACTTGAATGCCTGTGCGATTCCACGGGCTTCAATTGCGTCGCCTTGGCGCGTCCCGGTGCCATGCGCTTCTATCAGAGCAGTATCGTCAAAATCCAGCCCGGCTGAGGCATATGTGCTTCTGATGAGTTTTTCTTGTGCTTCGCTGCTGGGAAGGGTGAGACCTGGGGTACGACCATCCTGGTTGATGCCTGTGCCACGAACAACCGCGCGAATAGTATCGCCATCACGAAGGGCATCACTCAGGCGCTTGACAATTACGGTTCCAACGCCTTCTCCACGAGCGAAACTGTTGGCGCGGTGATCAAAACTGAAACAACGGCCATCGGGGCTGAGAAAGCCTTGATGTGACATGCCGTTGATGTCACCTTGAAAGAGGTTTCATAGTTAGCAATTGCCAGGACCGCTTACTAGGGCTGCTACATACCAGGGTAATTGAGAATTGTTACTCCCGTAATGATTGCCATGTCGCTCTCTCTCGTCCGTAAACTCTGACCACCGAGATGCAAAGCCACCATGGAACTAGAGCATGCGGTATCAACAGTCATACTTGGTCCCTTGAGATCAAAAAACCATGATACACGATTACTATGCATAGAGTTTGTGAGACCAGTGACACGATGTCGAAGCGTAGTCTCTGGGTCACTGTTCAGCAAGGCTAGATGATCGTGATTAAAACCCGAGACGTAGACTGAGGTTTTGGATCCTGCGACTTGCTCAATCGTGAACCCGCTGTTCTCGAGAGCAAGATACACATTTTCTAGGACAACACGTTGTTGAGGATCGAGTGACATGGCCTCGCCTTTTATGATTCCAAAGAAGGAGGAATCGAAATATGCTGGATCCTCAGCAAGAAAGTGACCTCCTGAGATGTACCAAATCAAATCGTCAGTTGTCAACATCAGCTATTTTACGGACTGTGCGCAACACACCTTCGACAGCATGTGTACCGCCATGCTCGGGATCTGGATGGTAATGTCCTCTGCCCACCCGATCTTCGGGAAACGGTGTGTGTGCACATTTCTTCGCGAGAAGGTATTGCCACAGCCGCTCTGTGCTGGACGCTTCTTGTGGGAAGCGGGTTGCAAGCCCAACGATGGCTAGTGGTTGTGCCTCTGAAGCAGCTTCAAGTGAGAAATCTGCCATGTTTGGACCTGCACACTATGGAAATGAGAAAGAAACGAGAATGCTGCGATGGAGGGTGAATGTTCAAACAATGCGGGTGGCAACAGTTCCAAAATATCCCATCGCGAAAGTGGCTATCTCATCCACATGACAATCTACTAACCGGCTATTACCATCCAGCGCTACATAGTTTAGTGGCTTGCAGTCGGCAAGCGTTTTGCTTCTACAGTGTGTAGTCTCGTTGGGAACCTGTATAATCGGCCCGAGTGTATTGTTAGTGTAATGGGCGGGCCCAACGGGCCGAGCGTACGACTAGTTACGCCATCCATAGCCAAAAAGGCAGTAACAAGACTTCAAGCTTCTTGAAGTCTAGGTAGTCGTATAGATATACTCGATCACACACACACTTTAGGCGTAGCCTCTTACAGTTAGATTATCACCTAGACATGCAGATAGGTCTGGCTGTAGGCATTCCTTCTTTAGTTTGTCTGTAGCAGATTCTTCCCAATAAAGTCAAATGTCCTCTTCTTTTTACCTCTATAATATATTTAGTACCCACTTTGTCTACTCTAATTATTCTCTATATTGTTCTTTTCTTATAATACTAAAAATCTATTACTTTATAGAAATATTTTACTTATAAATAGTATTTTATAAAAAGCAAGTAGTTTCTAGAAAACTGAGTCAATCTTAGAGTTAATGATATAGTTTAATTTCTAAATATACTACTAGCTCTACTAGATAATATAGTAAGTATAGTTAAGCTTCTACTTTTAAAAGACTAATAGTTAAAAGTCTAACTATATTATACATATACACTTTAACCTTCTAGATAAAAAGTGAATTAAGTCTTAGAAACTACGCATAAAACTATATAATATAGTTTATCGATCTATTATATATTTTAACAACTATAATAAGAGTGAGTAGCTTTGTATTATAAGTATTATTGAATGTACATAGCTTATATGAATATCCCAAGCCTATAAATGCACTAGGACCAATAGAACAAATACAGTCTAGTAGAAATATTTAACGCTACATTGTAATATAGTAATAGATAGTTCTTTTATAATTAAATTAATATAATAGATACTACAAAGAGGTAATAGTAGAAAAATATGATAGAAAAAACACTTATTTTTAATCTAATATATCTTAGCTAATGGGATAGCTAAAGATAAGTAAAGAAGTAATTTAAAGGCTGGAATCTTGTAGTCTAGTATAGTAAACCTACTTCTTACTTAGTAAGTAGCTATATTAAAATATATATTCTAAAGTTTAAAGAATGGAATTGGATAAAATATTATTTCATAGAACATTTTATTAAAACTATTATTTATCAAGTCTCAAGTTATAGTATGATAGTAAATAAAAGCTATAATATAATTGAAACTTAGTAAAGTTTATTCAATTTAAGTAGAATTATTTTACCTTCCAAGGTTTAACTTATAATAGAAATTATTAAGCTATCATAGACTTTTAAAACTTATAGTTTTCATATATATTTCCTTGAAGTAAAAATAAGCTCAATACTTATTTTTAAATATATTAAGAATATTTTGGAACTATTAAGTTTTAGTAAACTATAAGATTATTATCATATAAACTATACACTAGATATAAATCTCTATACTTTATAAACTATAATCAAAAATAGTAAGTATTTCTTAATATTAAACTTTAATATTAATATAACGTATTCCATCACCAAGCGGGCCACATCACCAAGTGTGCTACTTTTTCTTAGCATCACGAACTTTATGTACAAAAACTTAGATTACTCTACACTAGCTATAGATGCTTTATATAACTTACTTATATCTAAAAGAGAATCTTCTTCTATATCTTTCTAGCACGTACGAGAGTTATAGCCTATCCTCCTATAGGTTTTATAGTGCTATTGACCTAGTAGGGCCCTTTCTTAACTACCCTTACTACGTGCCTTCTTTAATATTGTACAACTAGCAGAACTACTTTTAGCTACCTGCGATGCCCCTGCACTAAAGTCTAGTGTCCCACCTGTCTAAATTCGCTTTCTTTTGCGCCCTTAGCGCTTTGTTACTACTACTAATTGCTCTTTAAGCTCTCTTACGCGGGCCTATATAAGCACATTCTTATATAGCATCTCTTTAGCCCCTTTAATAAGCTTTAAAAAGCCTTCTTATATAGTAGTTAGTGATTATATAAAAGACTCTCTTATAAGCTTTAATTGTGACCTAAATTTATGCGAATTACTTAGTGTTCTTAATATCTAGGGTATTTCTAGCTAAGCTTCTTATAGTAGAGTATAAAGGCGTACGTTAAGGCAATTAATAACTCTCTACGCGTTAATAGAGACTAGCCTTACAACCTTAAAGGCTATTTTGTAGTTATTAGACGTAAACACATTAGAAAACGCGTCTTAAAAGGCTAAAAGAAAGCGCTTCTTATTAATATGCTAGATATAGTAGCGTGCTAAGTCTTATACGCGTTAAGAGTACTTCTACTTAAGAGGTGAAAAGTAGATAATGTTAAGTAGCTAAAGTATATATAATAAATAAGTAGGTATATGGAGCGTAAGGATCTTTTATATAAGGCAGTAATCCTTAAATTCTTAGTTAAGGTAGCTCTTATAGCTGTTAAGGATAAGTAGCCTATATAACCCTACCTAACGCGTCTTTATATGCTTATTAAAGTACTTTAACTAACGTATGTGGCAAGCGAGCGCCGCAGGTAAGCGAGCGCCGCACCCCACTAAACCTGCGCACCTCTCCTATCTCAACGAACAATGGCTCAACGTAGCGCTACTTAATTAGCTTTAAATGAAGCAGATATTCAGCTTGCTATTTCTTCTATTAATCTCCATCAAACACAAAGTAATCATCGCGCTGCTGCTGTCTACAACGTGTCTGAACGAACAATCCGCCGCCGACGCGCTGGTATACCTGCTCGACGCGATTGCCAGCCTAACTCAAAGAAGCTCACTAAGCTAGAAGAGGAGGTGATAGTTGATCATATACTTGATCTAGATCTACGTGGATTTGCGCCCACGTATGCTGCTGTGCGCGATATGGCTGATAAGCTGCTGGCTGCGC